GTTATTTGACCATTTGTCACTTAGCCCCGTTTTGGTTAGTGGACGGCAGTCTGAAAACACTAACAAAAGACGGAAAGATATTGTCTGCTCCAAAATTGTATCACCAAAACTTGTGTTTATTTCCAGATTTTTTGTGGTTGTTGGGCCATTTTTGTGCAATAAAGTGAACGCCAAATTGGCCATATATCATTTTTGTTACATAGGTAAAGGTTTAGAAAATTCTCCAAGAATTCCTTCAAAATATGTCCTACGATGATACAGAGAATTTATATAAGTTATTCAATAAACAATTTTATTTTTTAAATATTGCATAAGAAAAAAATAAATAAAAATAAGTTAACTAATTACTATGGTCTTGATGGAAATACGCACTTTTAGCTTATGCTACAATGGTTACCGACTTATCTTTTTGAATAAATTTTTAATGCGAGTGCTAATGAACACTAAGAGAATCTTAAATCGGAATTTTTTGAAAAAAAACACAAGGGTGTCATTAAATGTATTTTAATAATATTGAGTTTATAGAAAAGTAATAATGAACTAGAACCATCAAACATGTTAATACCCCTTTTCACAGGTTCAACAATTACGATAAGAAAACCGTTTCACAACATCCTTATCAACAACCCTGTCCTTATCAAAATTATTTATGTGCAGAAAAATACCGAGCTAATGTCATAGCTGGCGTGTCGCAAAGTGTAGACACACATGTAGGTCGCATTAATTTTAATTAAAAGCCAATTCCACGCGCTCCACAAACATAAAAGGAGCAGCCAGTATTCTATTATTTCTTCGAATAGTCAACATTAGTTATATTATAAGTCAAAAGGGAAACAATAAAACTAATATTTAGTAGCTTGTCCACGTACTCGGTCAACCTCACTAGAAGGTATAGGAGGAGATCACAAACCACATTTTCTTCCGTGGAGTAGATTCTTAGCAGAAACTTAAATGATCGCTCTAAAACTATTGTAGTCTCAGAGTCGTATTTCAGAACTCTACTCAATGCTCAAGTCAGGACTTGAGTATGATTTCAAGCACTGGAAATACGACCCTCAGTGCCTAACACAGTGCAGTAACTCAGCCATTAGTTTCTTCTACTTAACAGACATTGTTAGCAATTTAGATATTAATTTAACGTTCTATATTCAACATGAAAAAGTGTAATTATTTCGTCCAAGCCCCAATTGACTGGGTATTAGCGACGCAAAATTACAATTGTTTAATATTTGAAGACAATGATCGTTGATCGTGTTAGAACAATGTGTATAATAAATAGTTTCATTTCTCTTTTCCATTTAACTCTCGGACGAACTATAGAGCTAGTATTTTATCACAATTTGGTGTAGAGCGGTTAACAAAACGGTAGTTGCACATGACTGGCGGTTTAACTAAAAAATTAGCACTTTCCAATAGACCGTTTTCACAAACAAACAAAATAAAGTTCATGCACCAGTGCAGGCTTGACATTTGTTTACTGTTACTTAAACAGTGATTTACTATTTAAATAAGTTACATTTATTAAATAACTTTATTCACAATTATTGTCAATTATATTTGCTGAATAACTAACTACCTTAATTACAGGTTTCAACTTATTACGAAAGGGCATTTATTCCGTTTTACTAATTGCTTGGAGTATACAACGGGGGAGACGCTATGAGCATTATTTAATTCCGTTTACATGATTTAATTCCGCCTTCCCCTTTCCATCACCGGGGGACTAGGCGTAGGCTTGGGTTCCACCCCTATGTTGTGGATATTCCAAAGATTCGCACGAAGCGTTACGCTTCCACATTTATATGGCGAACGGCTATGGAGTGGAATTCCCTGCCTGCAGACTTGTTCCCTGAACGTTATAACTTGGACCTTTTCAAGGCGAGAGTGAATAGGCATTATTTAGGTGTGCATGCTCCATCGTCGACCTCATCGTCACTTTCCATCAGGTGAGATGGAGGTCAAATGCGCACCTATATTTTATAAAAAAAAAAAAAAAAAAAAAAAAAAAAAAAAATTTATCAAACTAAACTTTCTGCTACTCTTTGAGGGGCGAGAAAGTGCTACTTCAAGCAAACAAGTGCACTCAAATTCAATATCAAGTTGTGTTACTGTGATCTCACACAAACAAAATTCGACAAACTAGCTTACTTTCACAAATACACAGATTAAACACACATTTATCGTATGATGTCCGTACACAGACAAGTATCGACTTTTACATTACATTACATTGCATTACATTATATTATATTAAATTACAGTACATTATAGCATGAAAATCGATTGCAATGAATTTTGCCAGAGATGAGACGTTATCGATATTCACTGTGGATGACTACATAATAATACATTGAACAAATAATTAACATATAAGTAGTATTATTTAGGAACAAGTGCGTATGCTTCACTTAAACTATACAGTTAGTTGTTAAATAAATAATGAATGCCTTGTGTGAATTTTACAAGATTGATTTGTCTTGTGAGAATTTATAGCTTTAAACTGTTATATCTCGGCAACGTTGCAATTGTTATTTGCGCAGAGCGCGATAGGAAGTGGCGTGCCTACAGCTACCATACCTAATAGGGAGGGTGCTGTACGCGCACTCAGGGCGGCTCGCCCAAGGCATTGGCAAGGCTTATGCCTTATAGTGAACCGGGCGAAGTCCGCGCAAACGGGCTTTTTTTATAAATATTAGACACACGCTTGGCCACTATCTCACCTGATGTTAAACGACGATGTGACCGACGATGGTACGCATTTGCCTAAAAAATGCCTATTCACTCTAGCCTTGAATAGCCCCAGATTGTACCTGTCGGGAAACACAGATATAGCCGAGATACAGATATAGTTATATACAGATATAGCCGGTAGAGTATTCCATTCCTTTGCCATACATAATGGGTGGTATATCAACGACGAAAGGATGAAGTGTTCCGGACCTTCTAGTCGACCCAAGGAGGAACAGTGAGGATGGAACCAAATTGAAAAGTTCCTGCGCACACTCCTCGATATGTATCCGATAGAAAATCTGCTGCTGATCCGGGGTTAGAACCTGACGTAGGTGGTCCCTGTGCGGGCTTGCTTGCACAGGTTATAGTGCGTTTCCCGCATAACCAAGACGTTGATAAGAAGGGTCATTATAAACAAAACTTATGAAGAAAGATATGAAACTGTTACATTTCGGCATAGTTACGATTAGGAGACGAGCCCACATAATTATCTATGGCCTTATGTTAACTTTTCTTTGTATGAATACCCCGTACAAAAATAAGTAATAAAAAAAATAAGTATCATTAGTGCGCAGAATTTCTTTAAAAAGGCTCATAACATGCTTTGCCATTTAAATAAGAATAGTAATATATTTATTTCAGTGTCTGATATTTAAATACGACCCTGTGTTGCTTTCGAGAACAAATTTTGTCGATATCTCCTAAAGGATGGAAAAAATATCGACATCATCATTATTGACAACTTTCCAACTTTTTTCTCATGAAGACGTTTACGTCACGACTTCACGTTTGCTAATTAAAAACTGTAAGCTGTGGAGCATAAGCTACATGATCAAGTGAAGAATAATTATAATATGACCTTTTAGATCGACAATTCTATATTTGCAAATTATTCGAATATTTCTAAATAAGTATTTCCTAATCTTGACAACAGTAGAAAGCTTTAGGAGGGGTAAGAACTAAGAAATTAAAGGGGTGAAAAATTACAAAGTAAAATAGTGCAGTATGAAGAAAAAGAATCTGAGAATGTTAGGGCGTGGTAGAGTAGAGTGAGTGATGTAGTATGTAGATGAAAATAGGAGAAGATGGAGACACGGAGTTAGAGGCCTCTGCTCTTGAATGTTGAAGACCAAGGGCAGAGGTGAAGAACCGGAGAACAGCGAGCCTGTTGGCTAGACAGCAGTTATAGAGCAGGCCCGGAGGGCAGCGAGGTTGATGACGAGACAGCGGTGGTAATCTGCTGCATTGAGTGTAGCATCACTGTGTTCTCAGAGGTGGAGTTCTACAGCATTTTGAGCGTCGGCTTCAGTTACTCCTGTGGCGAGTCCCACATTATGTTGTTGCATTACACTAAGAAGACACGTGAAGATCAAATGTCTCTGGTAACAATTGGCAGAGTGAGAAAGAACATCGAAATTCGATTATTTTTCCGTCCTCTAAGAATGAGAATCAACCAATAAACCAAAACGTGATCGATCAGAAGTGCATATACTGTCAAGATCACATACCAAACGAAAGAGTAATTTATAGGATAGTCTATGGAAGAACAGATTGTAGAAGAATAACAGATCTGAAAATATTATAGACGAAATAAATTGAATTGAATATATTTAGAAAATGAAATTGATGAAATAATGCGTAATTGGCACTGGGATGGGAAACGTGAATATAAATAGCAAAGTTTAGATAAACTATCAGTGCTATAGAATATGCAGAGGTCTGAAAAATACGTAAAAAGTGAGTAATCTGTTGAAGTGAGAAAGGCGCTAGCGTAGTAAATGTTAGTTGGAGCTCTTTCAGGAAACAGGAAAACTACGGGCGATTCCTAGAAATGCTAATAAATAATAAGACAGATGAAGAGTCCGTAGTTTCACACTACACTATGCAATCTATAAATTAAGTCAATGTGAAAATTGTGAAAAAAATATGTTTAACTAGAAAACTAGTAATTAATACAAGAATATACATGGAACGTAATTCCATCCTTGGATAGACTGGGTATAGCAGAGCTTTTTTACAAGTTTGCACGGCGCAAGACGACTTTTTCGTGAGTGAATTCGGTTGTGGAAATAAAAATTAATTGATTCAAAAGTAGATTATATTGTGCGGTGATACTTTTTACTTGTACTTTGACAGATGAGATTGCCCATGGGTGGCACCTCCCATGTTGTATTATTTAAAACTAAGTACTTAATAGGGATAAAATAAAAAAAGAACTTTTTATATATAGATAAATAGAAAAACCCATCACGTATTTTGTTTGTTATTAGACGCCAAGATCGGTGGAATGGAGCTAGTAGTGGGCGCGTCTTGATAACGATGGGCGCGGGCGGCGGATAGCAGCGGGCGTCGGCGCGATGTGGGCGCGGGTGGCGCGCGCGTTGCGCCGCGGCCTGCTGCTGCTGCCGCTGGCGCTCACGCTGCTGGCGCTGCTCATGCTGCCGCGGCCTCCACCCGTCCCGCCGTCTCCTCTACTCAGACATTCATCGCTACCACCACCTGACCTCGATGAACCGCAATCACAGGTATCAACTTCAGTACTGTGTGTGATTTCCATTTAAAAAAATCATGTTGGAACTTTCATGAAACTTCTACTCTAGAGGACACTTTGTTTGTACCTTTTTTTTTTACTCATTCGATAAGATATAATATCAAAATAACTTAATAAAAAAAATTGTTCCTTAGAATGAGGTACTACCTGAAAAAGATGAGCAGGCGAAACTCGAGGGTGATGAGGTACTGCAACGACCTTGGTTTATGAGAGGCGGAGAACGGCGACCCCTTGCTAACAGTGTGGACGCGAATAAACTCTTCCCTGAAGATGCTCAAGGCGAGGACAGGTAAACGTTACTGTTACTTACACATAATACTACGCCCATAATTTCCCACAACGACTAAAAGGTGCCTAAACGTAGAACAGTGTTGTGTATTGTAATAATGGTATAGTATAACCCTTAAACAAACGCGAGCCTTAATGCCCTATCAACAAAATATTTTAGTGGTAATTGAGGGTCGTAGATGCCATTTCCATTGCTACCTTTAAAAAAAAGGGGAATATCATATTTTCTTTAGGTGGTTTTGTAACTATACACGCCTAGCACTTGAAAATGTACTAAAATATATAATCGGTTACCTACTTAAAAAAATATATGGGTGGTACATAATTTGCTTTTAAGGAATAGTATGGGCTCATTCAGAGTGCAGGCGCGGGCGCGGCGAGCACGTGCGGACGCACCGGGTTTGGCGTCTTTTTTTTCACAGTGCCAAAGCGGCTACGACCGGGCAGATCCACACGTCGAAATCGCAAACAGACGCTAAACGCTAGACCAAGCACTGTGAAAGGTACGGGCGGACCGAGCCAATATCTACCCGCGAGACGCGCACGGCCACTGTGAACGCAACGAGCGCATACGTACATTTGATTTACACGCACCCGCACCCGCCGTCACTCTGAATAAGGCCTAAGACAAATAGTGCGACTCCCTTCTGATCAGCGCGTCAATGCCTACACACCGCTCGGAGTGTAGGTTTGTCACGTTATTATTTTAGTTGTACCTAAAGTTAAAAACACAATTTTAGAAAACTAAGGTATTCATCACAGTGATGTGCTATATTGAAATAACCTTTGTCAAATGCAATACGAACGTATTGATATTTTTGTGCCAGCATCGCGAATTGATATATGATTATGAAATTGATTATATTGGAAGTATGATTATGAAATACAACTTAAATAGTGCACAGTTTTGAATTATATAAATCATCTTATTAAAATTATTAATTTCTCTATAAAAAGATCTGTACGAAGTGTCGATAAAACAGTAAAAAATATGAAAAAAAAATTGTGGCGCGATTATTGATGTTTAGTGTTTGATGAAGACTTTAATTGTGGTAGATGACACTGTTAATTAATTTCTGTAATTATTACCTGTTAAAATGACCATGTGCTTTTTGTGATGGTGTTAAAACGTTAACATTCGACATATTATTGGAATCACAATTTTATTGGAAAATATTGTCGTCAAAACGGAGGTCAGTACGCCTTGTCTACTTTCCTACATCCTACATCAATATTTAATTAGGCAATTATCTGTTATATTTACTTTTACTATTATACTATAAAATTTACACTATAAAATATTTTATCATCACAAAAACATAAATCTATATATATACTTACACCTATATACACATATACACACTTACATCTAAACTTAGTTTAGAGTTTATGCAAGATATACATACACAATAAGTACATTAATACAAATTTATAAACTCTGTATGTCTACTTAATTGTATGTCGATATCGATAACATCGTATCGACCTGTACCTACGAGTACTACGGCCTAGTCACCGAGCGCAGTACATTTGAATCTTTTGTTTAACTTATGTGAGGCGCTGCGCCCGCGCCGCCGCTTCTTTTGTCAACCAGTCGATACTCGTATGCGACACGGAGCTCACGCTAAATTTGCCTTGGCTTATGTAGTTTCCGCTTACGCTGTTATACTATAATGTTCTTATTTCTATTCTTGTCATCTATCTTTTCTGACTGTAATGTGTGTTCTTCGCTATTGCCTGTGCTAAATTTAGATTAGTCGACATAGGACCTATTCGCAAAACCGTTTTCACGCATTATGTCAGAACGCTAAATGCCAAACAGGCAGAATGTCACATTCGCAAAATCCCAGATTCGCAAAATGCCAGATTCACAAAATGCCAGATGTCACTGCCAGGAACAGGCCTTCCTCATGGGCTTCCTTCTGAATTTTAAACAAACAATTTAAAAAGTTGGGGGTTTTTTGGCATTTCTTTGTTCAGTCGATGCTGAAATCCTTCCAGTGGGTTATTAGTGCAATGACGATGATGATGATGATGGTGTTCTGCGTGTAATAATATCCTGGGATGTATCAAATTGATGTATCCACTGTTTTTGAAAAAAAATTTCTGTAAAAAATGTGAGATTTTTCGCCCAAATAGAAACTCACTGAATTTCAGGTGGCTGATATGTAGAATAAATATGTTGCTATTAATCACTCACATTCTATTATATTATAATGTATTATACGGTTTAATACATTCTGTAAGTTAGATTCATAGTAATAATGTCTAAATGATAGAAGAAAATATCTCGTTTTTTTTTTCAGAAGAACTACCTATTTATTTTTTGTTCGTTTTTTTGATGAAATCTATTTAATAAGTACATTTTATGTTTTTTTATTTCCAATAAAGAATATTTTATTAAACTATTAATTTCACTAGATTGCTAATTAGTCCACTTACAAACAATCAAAATGCATATTATCTCCTTTTTAAAGGACGTAGAACATAGTAAAAATCTCGTTATCTCGAACAATAATGGAAGAAACTACTAACTACATTTTGTTTTTAACAAATTAATAAAACTTGAGAACCTCGCTTCATTATCATCATTATTTAGCCGAATGACGTCCACTACTGGACATTAGTGCGTTAGGAGGAGGAAGGCCTGTTCCTGATAGTTACATCTGGCTTTTTGCGAATCTGGCATTTTGCGAGACTGGCATTTTGTGAATCTAGCATTCTGCAAATCTGGCATTCTGTGAACCTGACATTCTGCCTGTTTGGCATTTTGCGTTTCTGACATAATGCGTCAAAAAGTGCAAAACAACATACTCTTAAAAATGTCCTGTTCGACAAATGACCTATTCTTAAAACGGCCTGTTCGTAGAATGACCTATTCTTATGATGGCCTGTTAGTAGAATGACTTATTCTTTAAACACTCTGATCGTAGAATGACTTATTCTTAAAATCGCCAAATGCCTTATTTTAGTAGTGTAATTAGTACACCATAATATTATTTAAAATTTCATTATGAACTTGCAATGAGTATAAAATTTCGGTCGCCTATTTTAATTTTAACAGCGCTTCATTGCCAATGTATTTTGACATTTAAATTTGAATAAAATATTCCACCTCTACATATAAGGCTAGTAAACTACGGGATGATCCGGTTTCGCGCACTTTCCGGTAAACGATTTCAATAAAACTTGGCAAATAGATGTAATTAAACGAACTTTTGAAGTCGGTAAATGGGACCAATACTGAGGTACCCTCTTTCCAACAAAAAAGAATCGAAATCTGCTCACAACTCCGGAGTAATCGCGTAACATACAGTCGATTTGAGAACCACCTTCTTTGGTCACTCTCATTGATTCAAACTTATTCTGCAATCATCGTGAGTGATAGGCTCAGATGGAAACAAGTTTCTTGATCTAGTAGCAGTAGAGCTCCATGTGAAAGAGTTCGTCCAGGGTAGTACTGCCACCTTACCTATTTCTGCCGCAGTAATGTCAGCATTACTGTGTTCCGGACTGAAGGGTAAGGGTGCTAGCTGGTGAAATTGCAGGCACATAGGACTTGTCAACTTATGACTCCGGGTGACGAGCGCAGTGGCAGTGCCCTTCAGATCTTTGCGATTTAAAGCACTGCAACTGTTATGGACAGGCGTGTAGCTTACCATCAGGCGCACGACTTGTTCGTCCCGTCACTTGATATTATAAAAGAAACCAATATAAATTAACGAATTGACAAACAATTAGAAAAATGGGGTGATTCAAGAATAAGTATTTTTAAGAATAAGTCTTTTTAAGAATAAGTTTTTATTTCCCCAAGAAACCGTTTGACCAATGTATCTAATTGAATATTTTTATTTCGAGTTTAAAAAAACGATATACCATTTTTGTTATATTATTTCTTATTACAGGTACTAAAAGTGTCGCACAATACAACTCGTCAAATTAATGCACCTCGCATCTTTAGAAAATATGGTAAACGAGTTGCAAGTTAATTTGATCGAGTTGTAGTCATTCGCTTTGCTCGTTCGGATCGTGCTGCTTTTTCATATACTAACCTAACCTAAACCTACAGAAGGGGGTCGTACCGTCCAGGTAATGCAAACAAATTCGGCTCTGGCACTCGCCGGCGCATTTTATCTAAGAATAGAATTTTGTCGAAACGAATTTTCAGCAATCTAAATTATATGGAAAACAGACAGTATAACAAACATGATCAGACCAAACAAACTTCTGCCCAAAGAATACGTTTGTGTAATAATTATTCTAGCAATAGGTTTTCGGACAAACGATACTTCTGCTGTAAGACATTTTTGTATTGCAAATTTATACCAAAACTGTCATCGCACTAATGAAAAAAAGTCGAACCGTTTTAGGACTTAATAAATTCGGAAAAAAGAAATTCGAGTTTGTGATAGGTTACCGCTTGACATTATACGCATACTACATGTAAGTCGGACTATTTTTATTTTAACCGTTTACCGAACTGTTAACTGTACCCGAACAACTGTACATTAATAAAAGACTTTTTGGAGTAAAATATCACTCAAACTTAAAACTTTATTTAATATAGATTGTATTAAAACCTTTTTTAGGTCATTACATTGTGAATTTTGATAGGATTCGTTAAACTTCTTCCTCGCGACTTATAGTTTTTTTACCCCATTCTCGCAAATTTTCACGATTTTCGCCGCTATCCGCGACTCTTTTAATTAATTTTAAAATTAGATACACATTATTTTCATATGATTCTAGTGTTAATCGATAGGTACTTAAATGCTTGTCATCTTTATGTTTGTTTTGTTTCTTAATAAAATTAATGTACAAAGTGGTTAGAAGTTAAAACGTAAAAAATAATATGAAAATTTCGCAGAAGTGTTCAATGCACTCGGAAATTCAAAGATAAAGTCGTCGAATTACAATCATATCTGTAGGCTAAACAAAAGCTACTTAAGTGCTCTTATCGCCCATGTTATTCTTTTTACGGTAGCTTAATAGGTTTTGAGTTTTAAGTGTTTTTATTACACGTGCCTTATCGCCGCCCGTAATGTAAACAATAAAAAAGGTACCAACTGTCATGACGTAATTTTGGTGCGCGTGCTCCTCAGCTGTCAAATGGATAAAAAAATGCAAGTGCAACCCGCGCTGTACGACGCGAAATTATGGCAACTAATTTTCAAATGCTACCGAAATTAGGTAGAGAAAACTTTCTCTACCTAATTTCGGTAGCAATTTTTATTATTTCAATGTTAGGATATTATCATGAAGTGTTATTTAATATTCTAGTGTATTATCGCGAACTATTATTTAATATTTCACCATAATACACTCGAATACTTAAATATAAAAATTGCCACCGAAATTAGGTATACAAAACTAACCTGAAAATTACCCTTAAATGCGAATGTGTGCGTCCGTACACGACTCGCGACAAGCACAGACTCATATTAGGCTCAATTTATATTGCGGCGGAACAGAATGGAAGCGAATTTTTGTAACGATATTGCTCAGGAATGCTCGCGCATTCCCCGGAAAATTGTAGCTCGTATCTAGTTTGTACGTTATGCAATTGACCATAAAGTTCATTATACTATGTACAATATCGTTACAAAAATTCGCTTCCATTCCGTTCCGCCGTAATATCAATTGAGTCTAATCGGCGCTGCTATGTTTGTATGGAGTTACACTAAGTACTTGTTATACTACCATAGTACCTACTCGTATAACAAGTAGTGTAACTCCATATTATTTAGTAGTTTTAGTAGGTAAGATACAAGATGTGACTGCAATCTTGATGATTATTTATTAGCTTATATTTATCTAGTACCTATATGGAAATTCTAAATTGCATCATTCGTATATTTTGTTTTTTCAGAATTGTCGACCAACTAATGTTCACAATTCCAAGCGACATGCCAATTAAGACGATATTGTTAGCAAATGGACTAAGTTCTTGGGGTGTTTCCGGAGGGCGAACTGAATTCGTGCGAAATAAGTGTCCTGTAGACCGATGTATACTGACTGCGGATTCACGCGAGGCTGGCACCGCAGACGCAATTCTTTTCAAAGATCACCACACGCCATTCAATGTCAAGCGTCCGCCAAACCAGGTAATATCAAATTATTCTTTCACGTTGTTTCTGGCAAACGCGAACTAAATTACAGAGCTGTCAATATAATTATAGTCCTTATACTATTTAAGTAGTCCATAATTTCATAGAGCATACATTTGCATTATTGTTATTATTGATAACGATATTATTATAATCTCAATTACACAATTGTATATTTACAAAGAGCACCCTTGGAATTGTTATACACGGCGAATTTTAGCAATTTGCGATTTGTAGGCAGTTGCATGGATACAAACCCGCGACTGGATCGAAACAAACCCGCGACTGCATCGATACAAACACGCGACTGCATCGATGCAAACGCTTATAAATCGCAAGTGTAGCGGTGGTTTGTATCGATGCAGTCGCGCGTTTGCATCGCTGCTTAAGGTCGCGCGTGTGGTAAAGCTAGAGAGTTGCATCGCTGCTAATAGTATGTGTAACCGCTCTAAGAGTTTCTTGCTCATTCTTCTCAGGATAATCTGCCCTACCAATGAGCTGTAGAATTTAATCAATATGACGATTTCAAATGTAATTTACTTATATCTATGAAATAAAGATTCTTTGACTTTGTCTAAATCTTCTCAAATATTCGATTTTATAAATTAAGTACGTCAAACAGTATTTTTTTAATTTATTATTCTATTACAGTTATGGATCTTATACTATTTGGAATGTCCTTACCACACCGCGTCTCTTCGACCATCATCTTTAGACGTGTTCAACTGGACGGCGACATATCGTCGCGACTCTGATATCGTTGCGCCTTATGAACGGTGGGTCTACCACGACGCTAAAATCACAGCGAAGGAGCTTGACCGAAATTACGCTGCTAACAAAACCAAAAAGGTATATATATAGATATATATACCTACCTACTATTAGCTTCGACTTAGCTATCTACGTAGATAGCTAAGTCGTACAGCTGTACGTACAGCACTTAGGAAATCTGTTTCATAAATGACAGGACATAACAATTTAACAGTTAATTTTCGGAAACCAACGTTCGTTGTCTGGGTGAGTCGGTATCAAATTGGTAGACTCGACAATCAATCTATAGTCCACTGATCAAGCAACAACCAATACGTGACATGTTAATTACAGGTGGCGTGGTTCGTATCGAACTGTCACGCACGCAATCGGCGGTTGCAATACGCGCGACAACTCGCGAAACATATTTCAGTGGACGTTTACGGAGCGTGCGGCTCTCATCACTGCCCTCGTACCGACCCAAACTGCTTGGAAATGCTTGATAAAGATTACAAGTTCTATTTGGCGTTCGAAAACTCAAACTGCAAAGATTACATAACAGAGAAGTTTTTTGTTAACGGCTTACAGTAAGTAAAAGTGCACGTTGTCAGTTTTTTTTTATTTAATAATTTATTGTACAGAAAAAACAAAAATATATTTAGTAACGAGGAAAAGACAAACAAAAAGTACTGCTTACTTCTAACAGATTTTTTTTCCTGCAGACCTAAATACAGGAGACAATAATCACGATAAGGGATTTACGTGCACAACAAAATAAAAGTTTTATGATGTTATGGTAGGTAGAAAATATAAATCGTACATTATGTAGGAAGTAAATGTGTGTTTCTTAGACACGACGTGCTGCCAGTGGTGATGGGTGCGCGCGCAGAGGAGTACGCGGCGGTGGCACCGCACAATTCGTACGTGCACGTTGAGGAGTTTGCCAACGCGGAGGAATTGGCCGCTTACCTACGTCGTCTCGACGAGGATGACACGCTGTACAACTCCTACTTCAAGTGGAAAGTATGTGATGACTACTATGAAACTTTTAGCAAGGAGTGATAGATCTGACCGTGAGTCTATTTTCACTTTTCAGGGTACTGGGGAGTTTATAAATACATACTTTTTCTGCCGGTTATGTGCAATGGTGCACGCTAATGACCAGAGACAGCGCACAGCACACTATCCGGACGTGCAGTCGTGGTGGCGCGACGGGGCGTGCACGCGTAACGAGTGGCGTGCTGTCGCGAAAGACAGCAAAGACAACGGGTAGAAGCACCACCAACGAATTGTCGCGTTTCTATTACCCACACTACTATTCACTCGCATAGAGTCTATCGTGCTTTGTAGTGCAATATTGTAACATCGACGACCTAAAACCAATGCACTGGTCACATTGGTCACATAAATGGTTTTTCATCAAAAACCCAGGTCATCGTTACGTCCTTGTTAATTAGTTTTATCAAGCCAAGCAATGGAAAAGGCTTAGATTTATTAAATAACACATTAACGACATCGCAATATTAACTGCAATAAGAGAGAAACTTACTGCTGCGTCTAAATTAAGGGTTAAGTCAACCCAACTACATTAATAACTCTTATCCACTATTAAGTAATACAACACCAAACAAAATATTTAATAGGTTTACAAATTGTAATATTTTGTAATAAAAAAGAATACAAATAAATTGTACAAAACTATAATGATAGAGACTGAATGAAGAAGAGCGACATTTTGCAAGTCGAATTTCTTTTGTATAGCATGTCAAAATATGTTAATTCATTGACAGATTTTATATTGTATTTTTTTAACACTGACTGGAACATTTTAGGGCCATTTTGCATGCTTGACTGATGCGATTGATCTCGAAAAATCTGCTCCAATTATATTTTGATGTCTTACATGCGATGTTGGAAAGTTGGAAGGCAAAAATTAACAATATATCGAAATCACTTGCAACGCGCCTTAAATATAATCTTTCACTATGGGTGCGTTCCCGTCATGTCGTGACGACAGATAATCGTGCAGTTTCAAGTGTCATGGCTTGTACATTTAAATGAACTTTTTCACACACAGAACAACACGATTCACGACTTTTTTGACATTACGACGACAGACTGTCACGACAATGGGAAGAGCTACAGAACGACAGCCGTCTGACGAGTCGACGACGAATAAAAAGTGCCTACAGATAATCGCAGCTTCAAACGATTCTGTCGTGGAAACGAAAAGGCGGATGCCGTGAACCTAAAATTGTCGTCACGATCTAGTGGGTAGCTGATCCCACGACAATCGTTCAACGACAAAATAAATGTCCACGACACAGTCACGACAGATAGTCATGATATGGGAACAAGCTATACGCGACTGTCGTCCAACGATAAATAAAACGTTACGAAATAATGGGAACGCGCCCTAAGTAAATAATGTATAATGTATTTCTGTATAATGTATCCAGTTAGCATATCGACATAGTGAACATGTCGCTCCTCTTTACCATTCTTATTAAGTAGAAACAACAAATAATCAATATGTACACTCCGTTAAAGTAGTCATTATTAACACATCTTCAAATGAACACTTGCCTTATTTACTGATATAGCTACTAACAAAATATAGAGTATTTTAATAATGTTCGAATAATTAATTCCGCAATATTTAATACACCAAGCAACTATTTGTATATTTTTGTGTACCTAGTTGATATTTATTGATAGTACAAGTGTAGAACTATATACAATTGAACGACCGATACGATGTATAGCTCAAAATGTAAGTAATTCCTGTAAACCGTAAGGCACAATGCTGTACTACAGCCGGGCAAGCCTGAGTCCGGGCTACGTTGTTTAATTGTTCATACATTGCACACGAGGAAAAATCCCTGTGTGGTGATGCAAGTTTTTTCCATCACACAATATGAAAAACCTCGGTTACTTGTGAAAGAGACCTGATTATTAAAATCATTGTATTGTACATTGATTTCGTTATGTCGACGGATATAGAGGCAGAAAATGGCACTTTGCGCGCAGAACGAATTGCACTTGCCCCATCCTCTACATGGCACCTACACCTACAGAATGGGATGTTGGTGACATCATTAGAAAGTACGCATCAATAACGATGGCAGATAAAGTATAGAAAACGCGAGTTTTTATGGACACACTTTTTACGATTTAGTGCAATTTAGCTAATGCTTAATAAATAAATAAAACAATATAATGTCACTAGCATATTGCAGAGAAAATTTATGGAAAATTCGATGCGGGCATTAGATGGAACGTGCGGGCGGGCATAATGACGTCATCATCAGGTTAGACGCGTGTCCTAGTGACCCTTAGTATCCTCGACAGGTTCGCCTACTTTTTATCTCAAGTTTTTTTATTATTTACACCTCGTGTTGCAGGGAAATGATCAGACCATAAGATTTAGTCATTATTATTTTAATATTTAAATTGTTAGTTATTTCACTCCACCAAACCATCAGAGATTGAAGCAATCATCAATCATCATCATCAATCTAAACAAATCTAGCAAACTCAAATACCTTGGAAAAAATTATTAAATTCCTGATTTGAACATTCCCCTATGACATAAATGTATAATATATTTATCATAAGTACTTAACTTTAGTACGTAGACTATTTTTTTAGACTTCTGTTATTATTTGTAACGATCTTATGCCTGTTAATGTTCATATTTGTTTATAACAGTCTTGTGAAGACTGACTAAGTACTTATCTATTTGTCCTAAAGCGTTAGAAACTAGCACAAAGTCCAGCAGACTGCAATAATTATACAATATTAGTTTCGTTAGATGTCTGATGAGGAGGCTTAGCTAGTGTGTGCTAGTAGTTATACCAATAATTGTAATTGTTATTTAGACGTATGTTAGATTTGCACATTCCTGACAACTCAAAATTCTTTTCAAAATAATTACTTACCTAGAATATAGTTTGTGACGTACGGTATGATAATTCGGAATCGGTAAATTTTTTTAAGGCGTGGCATGCAGGCTAGGCGCTGGTAGTCAAGTCATATTTTTTGAGGAATCGTTTTAGTCCAGTATACATATAACCGAGATTATTGAAGTTTAGATAAATTAATTTTGGTCGCTTTTATATGTTACTTTTTTGTGAAAGCACAAACTGCTCTTTTCCAATTGAAATCTTTTACATATCTCTTGCGGTGTTTTTGTAAAACTATTTGCTTTATGAATGTCGAATTTTTAATAATGTAATCTGTATAAGATAATGTTCATCGTGAACTTGTTGAATGTAGTTAATTACGTTTCTTGTTTTTAAATATAAAGCACACTAATTCACTGTGTGTGAAAAAAAGTTTATTTAAGAAAACGAACTAGATATTGTTGATTGTTAAGCTGTTTATTATACAGTACGATTTTTTTAACTGGGACAGTATGAGGAAATCCGAAACTATAGGAGCGGGCTAGACTTCGACTCGAATTAGTCTTCAGTTTTAGTCTTATGATTCAAGACTTGAGGGTTAGAAGACTAGACTAGTCGTGAGGCGTTAAAAATTAGTCGAGGTTTTTAAAAGGTCTTAAAAGACCGAGTCTCTCTCATCACTACCTATTTCTGCCGCCATGCAGTAATGTGAACGTTACGTTTCGGTTTTGAAGGGTAAGGGTGAAATTACTTGTTATCTTATGTCTCAGGGTAACAGGCGCAGTGGCAGTGCCTCTCAGATTTTAGTGAGGCAATGAACTGTTATGGACCGGCGTGTCGCTTGCCACCAGGCGCACGACTTGTTCGTCCCATCACGTGATATCAAAAAAGCATGTCTTTTTATGCTTGTTTGCATCGACATAAGTCGAGAGTTGTCCAAAAAATTTAATAATGTTGACAATTTTTTTAATGCTAATTGACTCAGTTATTTATAAGGATCATTTTATTGTAAAGGAAGAAAAAACCGAAATAACGGACGTTGTTCAAATTTAACAAAATGTTTTTTTATTAAATTTAATACATTGCATTTTTCTATTGTATGAAAAATATTTCCCAAGTATCTCCTGTGGTTTTAAATGTCCCCGTACTACTAGGTATCAGTTAAAAAAATCACACTGTATACAAGGTGTAAATGTTATTTATTGTGATTTTATATTGTATTGTATGCATTATTTGATTCTTGCATGAAGTTTTCATTTTGTGAAGTAGTTCTTATCTCATAACTTGCGATCTACCTAAGACTTGGTAGTATATCTATTATTTAGTTAGATTTTAGCAGCACAATATCAATATGATAGTGAATATTTTTAAGCTTACAAGATCTATTGAGTCTTTATTTGTTGAAATATTGATATTAGTTTATATAACAAGCATTTACAACTTAGTACTTATAAGTAAATAGACCACAGAACGTGTATTTAATAAAGTTTACGAAGTAGGTATTTTAATTTAATTTATCAAAGACGACACATTTATACTGGTGCCTTTTCTCTGCAATCAAAAAATATTGAAACATATTGTAAAGAATGTACCTACATATACCTCTTGATCGGAAGCTTGTTTTGGTCTACAGCTTTCTAAAATAAAATAAAGTGGTAATACTACTTACAATCAACTGTGATTACTCACTGATATAATAATATAACTATGCAAAAGTTTTGTATTTACGTAGTTAGTTACGAAAGCTGCAGATCAAAACATGTATGTTCACCACATCATTCCACGCGTGCCTCTAAATGTAGTTTTTCCTTTAATCGAAACTATACACAGTTTTATGACATTTTGTTAAACGAAAACACTTTCTCACGAAACTGCCATCTGTATGTAACTTTAAGACAAAATAGACAGCGTATTATAATCTGCAACTTATAATGTAAAGAGCGCAATATATTGAATAAGTATAGACCTTAGGCTTTTAGCTAAGAAACAATATTGCCGATACAAACTAAATTTATTATTAAATAAAAGACTTACAGAATTTTACTTAATAAGCAGCTGACATATATTTTTTATTGTTAAGTAATTACCAATGGTCGGGAAAAGGTGTTCTACTTGTATAGATATGGTTATAAGGAGGACATAGAGTTGTTAAAACCATCAAATATTAATTAATTACTGTTTCGAATTCCGGAAATGGTTTTACTGCATGGTGGGACAAAACTACTCACCTAGGAAGTCGAGTTTGGATTTTGCAGTAATTCTAATGGTGTCATGAAAAAATGCAGTAGATAACTGATCTTTTATCAAAACAGAATTAAAAAGTAACGAGAATGGTCACTCGGTATTGACGGTTACATTGACGGAACGGCGACTTTTGCTTGTAGAGCCTTGTTAAAAAAATAATTAAAAATTTTATTTACGAGGACAATTTTAGGACATTTTAGTTTGCATGAGAATCGTTGTGATCGCACTCAACAAAATATTTTATTTAAATTCAAAAATAATGTATAACAGATGTTCATAAATTCGAACCAATAGCAGAAATGTCGTATAAACTGCCTCTGTGGCCGAATGGTTATCATGCCGGACTGCCACGCAAAGGTCCCAAGTCATGGCATGTATATATGTATGTGGAAACACCTTTTTCCGACTACTGGTAATTACATATTGTGAATATAATCTTCTCGACAACATAATATCTAGAACTGTGACACAGAATAAAACGTTGGTAGATAAATAGACTACATTATGTAGGTAGGTGCCTGAAAGTCAGTTCGCTGGTAATGAAAACATTAATTAGATGTACGCCAAAATATCTAGTGTAGGGACAAGCCGAAACTAAGCGCTATGTGATTGGTACGAATCAATGCTACCTACTCACCCAGATAGGATGTACTACCTCAAATTTGTATCTACTGTGATATAATAATCGTAGTGTTTTATATTGGGGACAGGTAACAAAGCTGTGCCCTAATTTGGGGCCTTATAAGTGTACATTATTGTACTTCGTAATGCTATATACGCACGGCCCTATACTAACTTTTGCTAATTACTGTAACTTTTTATTATAAAAAAATTGTATCCCGTATGCAATTCATTTTCAACCAATAGCATGGATACCGAATGTACTATCAGCAATATAGAAACTTCATTCATTCCTAAAACGCTTATTAGCGTGTGGCCGTTCGTTGAAGTACGTAATGGCTGTCTCTGCAACGGGTATTGTGGTTCGATTGTTCAATAATTAGCATATACGATAATAATATTAAAGCAATGGATTACAAAGCAAAAATCTTCCTTAAAGTGCCGTAGTAATAATTCTATTTGTAAGCAAGATTCTTACCTCAAAATTATGCTGTGCCACTTTGCCATTATGAATATTAAACCTAGTGATCACTTCACTGTTTAAATACAAAGAATATTACAAAAAAATTGTTTTATTTTGAACCCTAGAAAAAATCCTAACGCCAGTAAGGAAAAATAACTGTATATTTTTTGCAAATTTCCTTGTGTTAAAGACTAAACATTATTAAAACGTTCAAATATCATGTGTTTCAAAAAAATAAACAACAAATTCTGTATATTATGCAAAATTTGTACATGGGCTCCGAGATTAACACAGGTATAACCTTAAAATTATAAATCGGTTGTATCTTCTAAACAAAGAAGCGGCTAATTTATAAAATGTTGCGACCAGAACCGACTAATCCACTTTTTCTGGGTGCAATCACATCCAAGCTAGGAGCTGTGGTTCTCGAGATTCAAAAGTTTACACAAATAACTCTAATGATCCCAAATTAACTTAATTTGATATTTAAGAAAGGTTAGGAAACGGTCGGGAGGAAAACCAAAAAGTAAAGGGTGAGCTAAGTTTGGAAGGAAATAAAATAATTAGAAATATTAAAATTTAAAATATATACACTGAGGAGCTCAAGGAACTGCCTTACAAGAGAGTTGACTGGAAGATGCTCCACCGACAAGAGTATAACTCTTAAGTTATAGATGGTACTCAAATTACACGAAATAATAAATACAAGGACTAAATTTGTAGACATAAGGAAGCACAACACACAGGTAGGTAAAAGAACATGTTAAGATAGGAGTTGTTGGAGGAAGATGGAACGGTCAAATCGGAAACAAGGTGAAAAGATGAATAGAATAGAATAGAATTATTTATTTCATAATATTACAATTCGAAATATAATGTCAAGGGATATCATGATCGTCATTAATGTAAACAATAATAATATAAAATAAAATAATTAAAAGAAAAACACGAACTTCAAAAACACAAATTAAAATTAAATATTTTGAAAATACAAATGTCCGAAATTAAAATATAATTACAATTTCTTTAAAAGAAATTCCTCTACTCTGAAGAACTCATTATCCAATAAAAGGTCTTTCAAACGAACAAAACACTTCCTCATTTGTAACACTTTTTAGACTTGTGGGTAGGTGTTCGTAAAATCAGGGCCCGATTACTCGTGGATTTCTCGTTGCGAGTTCGGTTCGATGAGCAACGGGTTTCAGTGTTCCTATGTTACGTAATAGTCGGCCTCCGCCTGTGCACCCCTCGTAAATATGTATGTTTTTACGCACAAAAACAATTAAAATAATAATAATAATAATAAAAAAATGAAGGTACTATGAATATTTTTTCGAAAAAGGCTTCTACAGGACTGATTACCTTTTATGCCTACTATGGCTCGTAGTGCGCATTTCTGGAGAACGAATACCCTTTTTCACTCAGTTAAATTGCCCCACATTGTAATACCATAGGACATCAAAGAGTGGAAGTATGCAAAGTACTTTTGCCTCAACACCGCAATGGACATAAGGGGACGCAGTTTCTGCAGTGCGTACGTACCACTTCCAAGTTTCTCGTACAGAGACTGCATTTAAGTCTTTAGTGAAGCCTAAGAACTTGCATGTGTTGCAAAGTGGAACCGCAGAGGTGACAGCAACACTAGGTCCTAGGTCCTGAAAGCAACACTAGGTTCGACTTAGACTTGTTTCGAATAAGCCCATTTGCAGAAAACCATTCACAAAATCAAAACAGAAGCTAATATTTTAACCTTAAGGCAGGAAAAGTACATAGATTCGTTAGCCAAAAAATATAAAATTGAGAACTGTAAATTGTTTAAAACACCTGTGGAAATTAATGCCAAACTTGGGAAATGTGAATTTAATGAAGATGTTCAATATAGGAATTTGGTAGGAGCTCTGTTATATATTAGTTCTGGCACTCGACAAGACGTTTTGTATTAATTACTTGAGCAGGTTTCAGAACTGCTATGGTGAGATTCATTTCAAATATGCATTGCGTGTTTTAAAATATTTACACTTGACATAAAGTCTCAAGCTCACATACTATCAAAATATATAGACTAATATAATGGACTATATTACGTAGATGTAGATTGGGCCGGAGATATCGTAGACCGTAAGTCTACTACTGGTTTTGTGATTCGATTATTTGGTAACGCTGTGTACTGGAAGTCAAAGAAACAAATTGTTGTAACAAAGTCTTCCACGTTTGCAGAAGCAGTAGCTGAAATAAGCTTATTACGTAGTATACTTGGTAATGTTTTTATGACGTTCGATGCTCCTGTAAACATTTATGAAGATAATTCAGGTGCTGTAGCTATTGCTAAGTATGGTAATTTCACGAAGAACTCGAAGCATATTGAAGTGCATTATCATTATGTTTATGAGAATATTAAGAATGGAACCATTGATATTGTTAAAGTTAATTCGGAAGATAATGTTGCAGACATTCTCACTAAATCGTTAGGAAACATTAAATTCTCTAGATTCAGGCGAATGCTAAATATAACTTGATTTGATAATGCCATATTTGCAATGTTGTTAATTTTATACTATTGAATACTGTTGCCATATAAATCTTAGGGCGCGTATCCACTATGTCGTGACGACAGATTGTCGTGCAGTTTAGAGTGTCGTGTCTTGTATATTTAATTGAAGTTGTTCACATATAGCACGACACGATTAACTGTCGTTCACGATATTTTATCGTTACAACGACAAACTGTCGTCACAGTGAGAACAGCTAGAACGACAGTCGTCGAACGATAAAAAAATGTCACGATAAAAACGTGAGGACAGATTGTCGCAGCTCCTATTGTCGTCACGTTTTATTTATCGCTGTCCACACGTATTCTGCTCCCTGCCCTCCCTTCTTGTACCCCGCGCCCTCTGCTCGCTTTGCAGTAGCGTTGGGTCGTAGCTAGAGATGGGCAAGGAGACTGTCGTGAAACGATAAATTGTCGTCACGATCTAGTGGGAACAGCTAGTCACGACAGTCGTTCAACGATAAAAAATCGTCCACGACATATAGTCGTGATATGGGAACAGGCTAGACACGACAGTCGTCCAACGATAATAAAACGTGACGCCATAGTGGGTACGCGCCCTAAGGAGGCGTGTTGAGGTTGTATACCAAATAATTTATATTGGCCGCTTAGTTTGTTTTATATATGTCAATAGCTGTACGACGATATGCATTGTTTGTTTTTATGTTTTCTCCACCTTCCAAAATATGTGTTGTGTAATTCCTGTTATGATAAATAAATAATATTATTATTACCACACGCAAAATAGGCGCCTTGACGTCGAGTTGCGGACACCAGCCCGTTGCACCAAGTACCAATATTATTATTAACATCTTTCGTCTTCTTCGCTATTTCTAACAGCCATGTCTTAATATTATTACTAATATTAATACTCAATGTTATACAATGTTAAACACAAATTTATTTTTTTTCACGAAAAATCGTTATATTTTGGATGGTGATTAAAAAGTCTGTATGTATGTACAAAATAACTCAGTAATTTTATTATAAATTCCCGCGCTTTTACGTCATCCATACATACACTGATACATATTCTAAATACCTTAAACTGAAACCTTAGAGCCTATGCACACGGCGTATTTTATGCGCGCCGACGACGCGCGTTTCACGAACGCGTGTTTACAATGCCATAAACGCGCGTCATCTGGATGTATTCGCGCCGCAAACGCGCTGTTATGAATCGATTAAAAGGTGCGCAAGCATTGAATTGCAAGCAAGAAGCTCATACTCCACTGGAGTTTACACTTAGATATTCATGTAATTGCTTAGTTTTAAAAACTGAGGTTGCGTTCTCATTATATCGTGACGACAGATAGTCGTGCAGTTTAAAGTGTCGGGGCTTGTATATTTAAATGAAGTTGTTTACACGTAGAACAACACGATTAAGTGTCGTTACACTAACACTAACAGCTAGACACGACAGTCGTTCAACGATAAAATAAACGTCCACGATACAGTCACAACAGATAGTCGTGATAAATGAACAGGCTAGACGCGATAGCCGACCAACAATAAATAAAACGTTACGACATAATGGGAACTAACCTAACTGATATTAACAAATAAAACTAAAATTAAAACTGTCTCTTATCAAAATGCGCAATATGTTAGACGTGTGTCGATCGTGATCGATTGAATCAAAATGATTCGAACAGCACCTGTAACCCGATAACACTAGCTTCTAAATAACCCGACCATTTTAGAGTTTCATGGGTCATGCTCGCAATATTCGACTTTATCACTATAATTTTATCATTCATCGTTTGATCCGATCACATTACGCATGGATCATGATCGACCCGGGTTATCAAAAATGACGACCGACACATGCACAGACATATCTAGATATATATCTGTGGACACAGGTCTACAATAAATACGCGCGATACAGCGCGTCTGTGGCGCGTATACGCGCAGATGGCGCGCGTTTACGGCGGCTCCTTAAACACGCGTTCGTGACATGCGCGTCGTCATCGCGTATAAAATACGTCGTGTGTACCGGCGTGTCGGCATATGTGTGTGTGTGTGTGTGTGTTGGGTCATGGAAAACATTTCCATTAAAAAAATGATATTTTTCAGAAAAATAAATATTTTTCCGGACATTTTTCCTTTATTTTTCTACATTTCACGTTTACACCTGTCTAAAGTTGAAGTTACTGAACGAAAACGATGACGCTCACAACAACAACAACAACAACAAGTAGTGGTGTGGTGGTTGGAGGTTTCCTTCGCTGTTGTGATGTCACAGTTTCTCTTTGTGGCTTATAACCAAACAAGATAATTTTATAATTCGCGCTAAATAAAACTTCAAAATATATTTTTAAACGTAGAACATAAGAGCCTTCCATATTATATTTTTTCAAATAAAAGAAATTCCACTCTTTGAAATCCAAATCCACTGTTTGAAATTTTTCGGAAAATTACCCAACAAAAGTCGAGTCGTGTGCTTTTATAGGGCAGCAGTGTAGCCAGGTCTACTGTTTTTGGACTACATCTACTCTTCTACTGTTACTTAGCGAAAATCTACTGTTTTTTAGGATTTTCAGATTTTTCACTTTTCACTACTACTCTTGTCGGCTTTTTAGTTTTAGTGACTCTCTGAACATATTGAAAATTTGTCGGAGTTTTTGCAAAACTTTACAATGTGGTCAAATCGTAGAACGTCGTCCTTTGTCAGAAGAAGAGTATAATCAGCCCCTTTATCTAGTCTTTGTGGACTATGAGAAGGCTTTCGATTCCGTCGATACCCTGGGCTCTCTTGGAATCCTTACAGCGATACCAAGTAGACTTTCGTTATATCGAAGTGATGAGATGCTGTATGATGCCGCTACCATGAGTGTCCAAATACAGGGCCAACAGTCTAATCCCATCCAATTACGCAGAGGAGTTAGACAGGGGGATGTCATATCCCTGAAACTGTTTACAGTCGCATTGGAAAACATTTAAGACGCTGGACTGGAAAAGGATGGGCATAAGCATAAACGGCGAATACAAATCACACTTGCGATTAGCGACATAGTCCTAATAGCGAAGTCGCTGGAGGAGCTACAACGAATGCTTGACAGACTAGCATCCGCCTCGCAATGGATTGATCTCGGCATGAACTTGGATAAAACGAAAGTCATGATCAATTATCACATTGTCCCGAGGCCAATCGTAGTAAATGGCCATCTTCTTGAAGTTGTTTCCGAATACATTTACCTTGTGCAGATTCTGCGATTGGGTAGAAACAACTTCGAAAGGGAAGCAAAGAGCAGGTTTTAGCTTGGCTGGGCAGCGTTTGGTAAACTACCTCGAGTCTTCTCGTCACCCATTCCGCAAAATTTGAAAACAAAGGTTTTTAATCAGTGCGCTCTACCTGTTATGACATACGGAGCCGAGACGTGGACACTCACGATACGGTAGTTCACCAGTTGAAAGTCGCTCAGCGAGCTATGGAACGAGCTATGCTCGGAGTTTCTTTGAAGGACAAGGTACGAAACGTGGTTATTCGACAGAGGACTAAGGTCGTCGACATAGCTGATAGAATAAGCAAGCTGAAGTGGCAGTGGGCTGGCCATATCAGTCGACGAACCGATAACCGCTGGGGAAAGCGGGTTCTTGAGTGGAGACCACGGCTCGGAAAACGTAGTGTAGGACACCCTATGGCCAGATGGAGCGACGGTTTGCGAAGGGCTGCTGGCAGTAGATAGATGCAACGAGCTGAGTACCGGGCAAATGGCGCGCATTGGGAGAGACCTATGTCCGTCTGTGGACTACGATAGGCTGTTGATGACTACCGAGGTACCCTCTTTCCAACAAAAAAGAATCATCCAAATCGATACACAAATGCCATACGACCAAATGCCGGAGTTATCACGTAAAATACATACAAAAAAACATACAGACGAATTGATAACCTCCTCTTCCTTTTTTGAAGTCGTTTAAAATAGAATTTTTTTGTCAGATTCCAAGATCGTAAGATAACATCAAAAACATTACGTGACAATGTTTGAAGAAAATCTATTAAAAGCGTTTCAAACAACGTAAGTTCAGTATCTACTGCTTTTTTTCTCAATCTACTGTTTTTTCGGTGCAATATCTTCCGATTTTTTCAGATTTGACCTGGCAACACTGTAGGGCAGGCTCTTAAAGGATGAAAAATGAAAATGAAACGTGTTGATGACGTATGGGACAAATCGAATAATTTATATATTAAAATATTTTTAATTTTTAACTGAGGCATGGATTAAACAAAATTTTCGATCTTTTGTCATAAGCAAAATGCATGACACGGCCACCCTCTTACGTACGACATACATCATTTTGTTTTAATCGCCAATAAAATGGAGTTGTTAGTTATAGCGAGACAGAAAAGTATGTAATGATTTTCATTATAAAGCTTAGGTATGGAAGTGCTGCCATCTATTTAGATAGCTCATTAGATTGAAGCGAGGAACTTTTTCAGACTTCTTTTATTGAATTAACTAAGTACTAAACAGTTTCTGGTAACTGTGTCTAGTAACTGATTGACGTGTTCATCCCGTCACTTGATATTACAAAAAAATCTTCATATTTTCTTTCTCCGTTGAAAAACGATCGTGTACTAGTACGAATTTTGACTACAGCCCTGATAGATGTAAGTACATTAGTTTAAAAAATGTTGTTATTTAGAGCACGAAAAATATCTCCCTAATCCGAGGTAGCAAATTGGATGATCTGTACAATGATCGGACACCTGCTTCCCTCAAAAAGTATTTGCTGTCACCAATTGCAAACCATAGACAGATAATTCTCGATGCAAAAATAGTGTGTAAATAATCAGGTTATCTTATCATATAATTGCTCATTTTATGATGGCTTGGTTGCTGAATTCTATTACTATTTTTTCACCACTCTGGCAAAAGGAAACGAAATTAAAGTTATTTTCTTACTAATTATATGTATAAGGCACTCAACAAGTCGGTCGCCCCATGATGTCACCACGCGACAACAACCATGGTCATTATCATCAACCGTCACAAACGAGATGAGCGCATCTAACGTCAGATTAGTGTTGGGCCACGAAAAAATTGGCGTGGCCGATCTGGACCTCTTTAAATAGTTTTCGGACTCAGCTTGGTAGGAGCAAGGACATTTTGTTCAGGTGGAGATTTTCCAATGGTTCTAACCTGGACTGCTTGTGCGGTGCGACTTAAACTTGGCCCACCTCATATCGTGCCCTGCGTACCATTACACCTGCACGCTTGAGGATTTAATGGCAGCTACTAGTGACACGGTCGGCGTGGCTGAGTTCTGGGCCATAATACTATAATGTATGTCATTTACACGACAAGAAGAAGACTGTCAAATAAGTAATATTCGACCAAATTAAAAGACAATGTCAAGTATGAAGCTTAATTCGCAACATGCGTCTTTTAATTTGATAGAGTATTATTTGACAATAATTGTTTCGAACGGATGTCAGACGGAAAACGAGATCAAAGGGCCAGAGTAACATGGTGCACACAAACAAACGGAGAAGTCACAGAATAAACATACAGAATCAATTGTGATCCACCGATGTATCAAATATATGTTACATCCGCTCACCACCAATTGTCAGTGTTGTTAAGCGACCTCGAGTGAAACTAAACTATTTATGAAACATTAGGTTACCTGATTATTAAAGTGTATACTTATATTTTTTAAATATCTGTAATTGGTAGAGTTTGAATTAAAATGGGGGATAACGTTTCCATGCCTCATGAGGTTATGAAACTCACCATCACCCACACGTTTGTTAAAAACGCATTAGCTCTATACAATCAACGGAAAGACCATCATGATCAGCAATATTTCTTATTTCTGTCGATTTAAAGGTTTTAAAAATGTCTCTTGGGAGTACACTATGAAACTGAATAGCATTAGTAGCACTAACTCGAATTTTTTAGTAATCATTCAGTGGCTGTGAGAGACGATGTTAACGACTTAATAGTCAAAATTGTAAATTCTGTAAATATTTTTCTAAATAAATTTACATTTTCTGTTCATATTCATCTCATTGATCTTTCTTCGCTCATTTCCAATTATTTTAACTCCCTTAAAAGAGAGTAATGAGAGAATGAGAGTAATTGAGAGTAATGCAAGGCTGAGTAAAAACTTAGCATTGCATTTTTAGCATCTCAATTTTATTTTTAAATCCATACTAAATTCAAAAGTTATGTCTATACATTTTGTAAATATATTGAAAAATTTCCACTATTTGAACATTTTATGAACAAAATTACTAATCAGAATCTAGGATTGTTGTCGGATCGGAAAAATGTAGATATTAGCGACTAACAGCGCGCAGATGGCAGCACGTGCTATGTTAAATTCAGACTGAGTGCTTACTCTATTCCCTGCATTGGGTGTATGTAGTCTTTGACAGGCAAAGTGCAACCGCCATTTTGAGGAACACTAGCTTGGTGTCGTGTAGCAGTATTTTCGGTTGAAAAAATATTACGCATTCTATAAATAATAGCATTTAAAAATAACTTCGGGCGATGTCGGAAAAAAAGCTGAACGATCTTAGAGTAATAGATTTACGTGCTGAACTTGAAAAAAGAGATTTAGATAAAAGTGGAGTAAGAGGCGTCTTAATACAGCGATTGTCAAAGGTAATTTTTTTGCTGTTCGTAGGCATGGTCAAAGAATGTAATTATCGTCACGGCAATATGTGATGTAAACAATGTGTGTTTCAGTATTTGGAAGAGGAAGGGCATGACCCAACTACGTATAAATTTGATTTGAGTGGCATAGATAAAAACACGGTGAAAAGAGCACGGAGAGTAGAGAGTTCAATTGAACCAGACAGCGAGGAAACGCCTACCATGGAGGACATGATCGTCCAAGACGACGCCGGCCAGGAGGAGGAAGTCAGTCTGCAGCGCGAAGCTACCTCCGAGCATGTCCCGCCGGCCGACAACAACACGCAGATGGATGTCGATGATAGCGACAAAACAAATAGAAAACGAGAACACAAGGAAGAAATAGATGAGGCAAGTGAAGCCAAGAAACCGTGTTTGGACAATGATGATCATAAAAATGAAAACAATACAGATGCTGAAGACAGCATCAATCTTGACATTGGAGACGATGAGTTGCTCAATGAAGAGGTACGTTTCTATTTCTTCAGGGTCACTGTTACACTGCCAGCAATAAACACTAAAGTATCCAATGGTTTTATCATGGAAATTGATTAGAATTTGGTAATTCATTGACAATTTAAATTTGTATACCTATATATTTACATAGGTAGTTATGCACAATAAAATTAAAATATAAGAGATTATTATTATGTACGCTTGTTTATTTTCTAATACTCAATGTTTCTAACCAAATAATACTGTTGTTTTAAATCCCTACTTTATCACATGGCTGAATGCCAACTAGTATAAGCACACTTGTGACCTTTTGTTTGTTTTGTTGTTTCAGCCTGATACTACTACAAAAGCTCAGCAAGGTAAGTTACTTACAATGGTGTGCTATTTTAATACAGAAATGTTTGTATAGTTTTTATGGACTACTTTATTATTAAAATTATAGATGTTATACTTTGATGTAAAAATATGTGCACTGCATTTTAACATATTGAGAGGATAGTTACACATATTACGCGTCTTGTGTAAAGTGTTACTATATATAAGTTCACTCAATTGGAATGAAGATAATAGTGTGATCCTGTGGGCATCACAGTAGAACTAGTACAGCCAACTCAGGATGGAATTCAGGACAATATTCTTCTACGCCCAAGAAAGCCGCCTGCTGAAGGAGAAAGCGTTTGCTGACCAATAATCCAGACTCCATACGCTGATGAGTCGTGTCAAATGTAACCCGCAACAGAATAATGACAAGCAGAAATGCAGGTTTTGGAGGTTCCTGCTTTCCATTAAACTTGTATCATAACAAGACATATTTCCAGTGCTCTTTGGGAGTATATTCATAAGATTACTTTGGGCACAGTAACCTTTGGCCATTGTTCTGCTGATAGTGGTGCTAATATCGATCAAGTTTTCAGGTCAAGATTTTTTAGTTTGTGTGAAAATATCAAGATTCAACATCTTCATCTTCTCCAACTACTTACAATGCAGCACATTGTGAAGAGAGGCAGGGTGGGCCGCTCGGAATGGGCGACCTGCTTTGGCTCAGCTGATCACTGCTACCTGATGTAGATGACGGAGCTAATGAAGATGCGGCGGTGTCAACACGGGATGATGCAGCAGCAGAGCACTCTGCAGCTTCGGCCGACGTCGCACCATCCGATGCCCAGCAAAGTTTGAACGATGCTCCTGCCACTAGGTTGGTGAACGCCGAACGGCCGTCGCGACGCCGCCGCGCGCATCCATACTTCGATTATTACCACATCCAATTGATATTTCGTTATCACTACAAAGTTTTGCACCAATAATAAATCAAAGAAGACTGATTTTGCGGTCTTTGTGTCAACCTGCGAAGATAAAGGAGCGATCATCAAGTACACTGGCCTGGTAGCTACAGAAGATTGAATTGGACATACAAAGAACTTCAAACATGTTGAAGAAATTGAAGCAAGAAGAAACTATGCTGCGGAAGAAGAACTTGTACGAAGTTGCTGTGAACAAAAACACATATGGGTGGAGTAATGGTGCAAAACTTTGTAGCTGATGTGTGTGTTGCAGTAAACTTACTTCTGTCACAAAAAGAAACTTGAAATAAAAGTAATATCTTCTAAAATGCTAAGAATATTCTACAGTCCTATGTATATTTCTATGCATTGTTAATCATTTAAAAAATTTTCTTTTTTCAGCAATGATGGTGAGCCTGGAGGCAAGGAAAATAAAGGTAATAGTAATTTTTTTTATGGCTATTATTCACTTTGCTCCATGATAAATTAAATTATTATGCCTTTGCAACTCTACCAACTAGTAGGTTTGTAGGTATATCTATTATTTTGAACTATAGTTCATATATATATATATATATGTTGAATCTTGTGAAAAATATTACGTATTTTTAAGTAATTTGCTGCGCGCGACAAAATCAAACTGTTAGCAAGTTGGTCATGTATAATATTTTCACTGCGTTTTTGTATACTTTAGTCTGTCAAGTGTTGACTTCATATAGTAGAAGTATCGGATAACAACTTCACCCATTAACTGCATGCAGTCAAAACAGACTTCATGCAGCGGAGACCTAATACACACATTAACTGCAAACATGCAGCCAATCTGTTAGCAGCCTAGCAGTTGTAGTCATTTTAATTACTTAATTACGTCATCATTAAACATCATAAAGTCGTTTATTGTGTATGGATTAAACAGCAATTGTAGCTTATGTTGAGTAATTAGCATTTTGTTATTTGCCTTTCCGCTCAGATTGTGAAATAAAATTTAAAAAAAGTTTATAAATTAATGCGCTGTTCTATGGCAAGGCGAAGTCTTGAATCTCTTTTCATTAATGTCATTGACTAAGCGAAATTTACGTACCAACTTCTTTTGCTGGCTGTGATTTAACTCTATTATTATTACTTGGAAACGGAAGAGAAAAGTGTTCATGATAAAATAGGATTTCGAAAACAATTTCAGGAAACAGTAATACAATTGAAATCAAGATTACTGGCCTTTAAAAATAATACCAGTTCCCAAATTTTCTTAAAGCATCAACATACTTAGGGGAATTTCACGTACATATATAGGGAAATTCAATGGTATTTCACATAAAACTTTCGTACCTCACCATTCAGCGACAAACGGACCAGCGTTTGTCCCAACGATTAACTATACCGGATGAAAACACAGCTATGACGACCGCCTAACCAGTCCATATGAACTGCATTGCATGTGAACTGACTTTTAATATCAGAATTACCTGATATACATGTCATCACTCGAACACTAGTGGTAGAGTGAAAGTAGTAGTGAATAACAAGGTGTATTCAGTACAGTGGCGGAGAACCTGGGCCGCCTACACCAATGCGTGACCAAGGACAGGGACAGTTGTAATTTATGGAAGATATAGGATTGGAATGTAGTTTTAATTACATATTTAAATATAGACATGCATATATGTTGAATGTGTAAGAGTGACAAATGGTTGATATTATTTTTCATAATACACAATTGTCTATTAAGAAATCAATCTACTTTTATCGAATTACCAACAGGCACGAGAAAGCAGCTGAAGTCCCTCCAGCCAATTAACGGCGGAAACCATATATATAGGGTGTATATGTACAACCATATGTACGGGCAGCAAGGCCAGCTACCTTAATCGTTGTGGTTACAAGAAAATCATGGATAGTCTTCAAGAACCGTTTTTCTGTAACTACAACGATTAAGGTAGCTGACCTTGCTGCCCCGTCTCAAATTTACACCGCCAGATACACAACTCGAACCACCGTGCATTTTTATTTTAAAAGAACTAAAATACAAAATTATTGTTCTCATCGAACAAAATTTTCTCAGTTTTAAAAATTTCAAGAGGTTCTCTGTCTGTATGTTTTTTTGTATGTATGTTACGCGATAACTCCGGTATTTGTGAACCGATTTTCATGATTCTTTTTTGTTGTAAAGGGGGTACTACCATAGTGGTCCCATTTCGTTTTAAAGAAAATCATCCACCTCTAAGGGTGGCTGTTCACGCATGAAGATTCATTTTTATAAATAGCGCCTAAATTTTACTTAAGGAGCAATTATTTTAATGGTTGATTTTGCTATTTCTCCAATTTAAGGCGTTTTTCTCTCAATATACTTTGGGAAGCGAGAACCGATTTTTATTATATTTTAGTGGCGAACTAGGGGATCAAATCGGGGTTTGCGCAATACCCGATAACCGATATCAATAAAACATGGTAATTGTATGTAATTCCACGTACTTTTGAGGTCGGTTTTTTAGTACTCTGTACTGAGATTATGTTTCGTTTTCACGGCGACGATTAAACGACAAAAACAGCTATATACGCAATTTCATATCGTTATTCTTGTTCTTCAACGTGTGTAACAATAGTTGATTACCAAATAAACAAAAAAAAAGAATTACTCTATGGCTCAAATCCTGACTTGAGCATTGAGTAGAGTTCTAGAATACGACCCTAATAAGCCTCTTATTCCGTATAACCTATTCAGTATTCGCAATTTAAAAAGAAAATAATAATGGCAAATGGCAACATAGTTCTATCAACTGAAATATGTCACGGGGAGGTTTATCATACAATGCATGTGATATACTGCCATGCTACGGCCTATTCCACAAGTCCCTACCAGCTGTCCCCCTGGTGGGGACAAGTGGATTTTTTTCCACACCGTCACTGGTTGGGATAAGTGGATATGAAATTCCACTTAGCCCTACCCAACCGTTTCTATTAATAAGTACAGTCGAGAATAAAACCATATCAATGAAAAGTATAACTATTTATTTAAAAACACGGTATTTATTACCTGCTAAGGGCGCCTCAAATTAGACGCACTGCAGTGGCAAGTCTGGCGTGGCAGCCATACCACTACTAAATTTTCATAGCTTTTTTCGTCTTTAAATTGACGTTATACACGTCTCCAGGCAAATTCTTAAAACAAACATTTTAAGTTTACTAGCCTATCTTCAGTAGGTAGCTCTCTTTAAAATATTAAAAGTTAAGATTCTGCTAGTACGATTTTATTGTATGTGAAGTCGGGTACTCACTAAAGAACTGTAACCGTTACATGTTATGTTACCAAAAATCATAGCGCGTAATAAGCCGTCGATGACCGGGGGGCCTAATATAAATTCTTATTTACACGCAGTTTACGCCGTAAACTGCCTTGTAATTTCGTATTATGAACTGGTAATACCAGCCAGTCAGCGGTCACGTAATACTAAGCTGTCCTCTGCCCCAAGTTTAGCTGGCAATATCGTGTTACAAACGTTATTTTGACATCTTGTTCACGTTTGATCTGTCAAAAAGTAATAGAATAAATAAATAAATAACGCACACACTCAACATAGCCTCGCACTAGGGAAACCCTGTGTCGCGGGTGCCATGGGCACACACATAGACAACCACAAATTACACCCAAACTCACGAGAGAAATAATTGTAGGCCATACAACTATTTCTCCCGGCCCGGGAATCGAACCTGGAACCTCTGCATGGCAGTCCGGCATGGTAACCGTTCGGCAACAGAGGCAGTTTTAATAGCAATAAACCATTCAGTTTACAGTGCCTTGGTGTAGCTTTTATTGTATTCTTTTGTGCATATTTGTATAATAATTATGATAATTATGAGTTTATGTATTTTTGGACAATCGTTTGATCATGTGCGATGAATACGAAATGTTTGAGTATCTCGAACTCACACGTACACACTCGAACCTCTTATTGTATCTGTCGCGTAAGAGTTACAGCTCGCTAATGAGTACCCGGCTTATTGATTGTTTATAGTTTGTTTTGTTATGTCTATATGTCATTTGCCACTCAATAAATTTCTGGCACCGCCAATAAGCAAACAAGAAGACTTATTAATTAGTCATCTATCATTATGATACTAATGCTCTTTGTGATTGGAGTAGGTCCAGTGCTTAATTGAAATAGCAAACTGCGAATATATCTTACGTGCTCACGAATGCATTGTTTGTTTTGTACTAACTTATTGCAAGGTATTTAATACATTATTGGTTTGTCCTAGAAGAAAAGCACAAAGTGGATGATGGAGAAAAGGAGAAGAAGAAGGAGGACGGTAAAGAGGGTGGTGCACGCAATTTGTGGGTCAGCGGCCTCTCTGGTGACACTCGCGCTAAGGATTTGAAGCAACTGTGCAGCAAGCATGGAAAGGTACGAGTTTTATCTCCGTGAGCAATAAATACCACTGCCTGTTGTTAAGTAATTTGGGCTGATATTTTTTAGGCACATAAAAATCGCGACTGGTAGTGATTTTATTTTTTAGTTTGATTTTGTGTAAAAAAGTTTGGTTGCTGCAATGGACAATGAGTTTTCATGCATGTACCGTGCATATGAGTGAAAGAATTTATAACAAACTGGTGGAGTTGTATAACGTTGTCATGCTAGTAGAATTATGCAACATAATAAACTTACAAGCAAAATGTTCTTCTAAAATATGTGCGTATATACATTCACAAAAGTATCAACAACAAATATGCAATTGGCGATGACGCTGCTCAGGCATTCAATACCTAGTCGTGTGACAACGGATTAACGCAGTGAGAGAGGCCATAAACTCAGGCACCGGCGCGTGGTGACGCTGCTGTGACGTCACACCGGTAGGCGGGGCCTCTAGGGCCGAAACGCCATAGTACCGGTCACGTGGCAGTAGTCTGATACGAGGGTTTGCTCCTGCACTGGACTGCAATTGTTGAGAAATGTAATTACACGAAAAAGTTGTGGCATGGACACCACATACGTAAAGTACCGAAACACTAGATTACCGGACGAGGAGACTCGAGACTTTAGAGGTTCGCTTTCACCAGCAATTTGTTTCCAAAAGACAAGTATCTCGCAACCTAACGCATCCAGAGAATGCAACTGGTAGCAAGCAAATCCCTCCGAAAGGTGCCAACACTTAATGTCGGAGATCGGTACGGTCTATACGTCTCGAAAAGAATGTATAGTCGCAATAGTCTGCGTTTCGTGACATAGTAATGCGCCTGTATTTCCAAGACCACATAGTCATGGTCTCACAAAGATACAACCAGGCTTGAATTTACTCTCTTCACTTCGCTTTCCTGAATGGTTGGACTTGAGCACCGAACCCTGGATTAGGTAAATATCTCTCCGCAACTGTGCACTAGTAATCGTCTTAATCAGTAATAGTCTGCATGATAAATCGTTGTTGCGTAATAAGAGGAAAGTTGCGCTGGGAAGCTGTAAGCTTCAGAATTAATATTTAATAGGTCGGATGAGAGAGCCTTTATTGACATGCTGCCAGTATCGATATGCTCTTAAAGTTTTTGTGATCTGTACATTGGCCGTTTGCTAAAGAGGCTTGCCAAACCTTATAAAAGTCGAGATACACGGCGAATGTATGAATATTTTCTAGTTTCATGTATGTGGCATTCATAAGGAAATCCTCAATAAACCAGTCACGAATTCACAATTTTCAAGGAGGTCGTATTCTTAGAGGTGATTACAATAGGATGTTAGGTTGCGAGGTAAGCAAGCCCCTCTCACTATAATTGTTAGTGCTGCGTAGTCTTAGAATAATTCCAAAATAGCCTGTTCCCGTTGTACATTTTTAGTGGGATATTGTTAATACGTCATGAAACAATTTATCTGATGTTTAAATCACACACTCGTCTATGACGGTGAGTAAATTATTGTAGAAATGCAAAAAAAAACAACATGCAAAACTCGTTTAAGCATTATTTAGTTGTAACATCTTTTTTACCTTTTGTACAGGTAATTGGTGCAAAAGTAGTAACGAATGCCCGCACCCCGGGATCGCGCTGCTACGGTTATGTCACCATGGCCAGTGCACAAGATGCCGAAAATTGCATTAAAAATCTGCATAGAACTGGTAAGTTATTCAAATTGTCAACTTATAGACTAATAACGTCCCCTTGACGATATTTGCATTATTTAATGTAGTAAAGTACATTAAATAATGCAAATATTACATAAAAATAAGTATTTAAACAAAAAAATATTATATCATTACGTTTACGAAGTAACATGCAAAGTGTGTTCAATTCTCACCTTAACGTTACATGTTTTGATCAGAATTACATGGGCGAATGATATCTGTGGAGAAGGCGAAATCTGAATCGGAGTCAGCGTCGCGGAGGCAAACCTCACGCGCCGACCGGCGCACGAGTCGCGACCACAAAGACGATATGAAAGAGAACATGGTGAGACATTTTCACATTTTGCACATATTAATCGGGACCGTTACGTAACATTTACAGTGTTTAGTAATTATATATTTATTGTTATTTGTATCTATGTTGCATGTTCTGTTGCGCATTTAATTTCTTTTTCTCTTTTTTTTTTTGCTTTTCCCTATTGATTTACATTTCACTTGATTATTAAGCTCGCATAATGCGAATGACAGTAATATGTGCGCATAAGGATAACAATTAAAAAGTATTTGAAACTCTTGCTCACTAGGCAGATGCAAATATATGCAACTTATTCGACACAAACGACAAGTAGTTTAAAATGGGAGTAATACTAATAATACTCACTATTCATTATTTTATTGCACTCATGTATATAGGTTACAAAACAAAATAAAAGCACACTGTAAATATCACTTAAACTTTCCCAATAAACATTAAATAATAGTAACATGAGTGGTGCTCACTTTTCTACAATAATTGTTACAACATTGATACTATTATAGGCAGTGAAAGACGAGAAGGATGATGGGAAGGTTAAAAAGGACCCAGGCTCTGGCGCCGACAGCCCTCGCTCCTCATCTGGCACGAGAGAGAAGTCTCAGCGCTCCGATAGGGTACTTCTTATTTCACAAATATCCTAACATTTGTTAATAAGTCACGTCATAAACACGTTCATTAAGGAAAGCTTTTCAGGGGCCGTCTCTTGTACACCAGCTGAAAACGAACTGCATATACTCATTTGTTTCTTTCTATCATTATCTTTTTTGTTTTTATTTATTAATGATTTTTCGCTTCATATAACGTATCCAAATTAGCACATTGTCGCTACGGCTCCGTTCGTTCTTGCATAAATAATGATATAGTGTTTTGTGATGTTAGCTGTCCTGTGAAATGGTGTACAAGAAATGACGCAAGGTCTATTTTCCCTAGAACTATCGCCTTCACATTTAATAAAAATTTTGTATGTTGTTTCAATAACTTATTGGCGCCATTTAACCTCAGGAACGAACGAGCCGTAGCACACGGAGCAACGAGCGCAGGAGATCGCCCAGAGAAGTGCTCTCGTTTTCTAAAATCTGGGTGAGCGAGTCTAGAATTAACATGTCTAACGCCTCGGAATTGGGTGCTAATAACTTCATGTTCCTAATCCTGCTTACCACACATCAATATCGCTTAACTAACCATTCCTAGGACACTTGTGTAAGTGCACATGGGACTCATTGCTGTGAACAACAATTCATAGACATGTTTTTCCTATTCTCAATCATCCCTTATCAGTGGGGAATGCAATTAGGGATGTTAGAGCAATACCAAAAGCTCTCTAATTTCAATGACCTTTGTCAACTGCTTTGTAACAGATGTTCAACCAATACTTAACTCGTCATCGTATTCCTCTACAACACATGTGTGTTATTCAAGACATTAATCATTGCGCTTGTGGGCTGATCGTATAACTTAAGCTACAATGGAATATTAGTTAATAATGGGTTCCAACCGCAATGTTCCCAGAATGTTCTTTTATCCACCATCAAGGAATGGATTTCAATCAGATTTTGACTGTGGTAATAATTCACTTTAATTTGCAATACAAGTCCTAAATCCTTGGTCTACCAGAATTTCATGACACGAAATTGTAAATAAAACAACCAAAATTGCGTCAAACACGCTAATGCTATGGTTCGTCTTGGTTCACCATTACGTACAGTCATATACATGAGATACCTGACCCCCTAACATGCCCAAACCGACAGTTTCGTTCTGAGAGCCATCTTACGTATTGAACAAAGAAAAAATTAAAGCAATTTCAACTTTATTTTGTAAGCAATACAGTGGAGTGTTGCTTGAAGATGATCAACATATCTTAAAAACCAATACTAAATGTCGTCATTTAACTTCCAAGTAAATTGGTCGAGTGGCTTGTTGTATCGACTGCCAGTTACAATACCCGTGGTTCGAATCCACGACCACTGCTTTGTTTTAACGTTACATTTTTAACAGCATTGTTTCTTCACGTTAACGTGTAACTTCATGTTAACGTTGACAAATCACAATATTTGTTCATTGGAAATTGCCTAAGGTGGGTGGGTAGATATTATTAATAAAGCGTAAGGTGTTTGCATACGATCGTGACTTCTGTGATTACGCATTGTTCCACGTTTCGTTCCTGTATGTCTATTCAGTTTTAATTACTTTCAAGGTTTTAGTGGCTTTCAAAGTTTTCTTTCTTATTTTAATATGCCGCACTAAACGGAATTATTAAAATTAGACATTATTGTTCTGTATGAACAAGAATTAGACATTCCTTATACCTATCTCGACGTTAAAAACAAAAAAAATACAATATTATAAGTTAAATAATGTTTTATTCTTAAAGTGACTCGAACCATGCTTGACTCGAATAAACTTACCGTTTGGCCACGACGGCGTTACTAAAGTTGGTTGAATTTTGTGTTCTGTATTAAGTCAGAACCATATGTTAAAGATCAAATTGGCTTAAAAACTTTCTTAAAATGTCATTCACTAATGAGACGACCAGGGAGTCATACCAAAATAAATTTTACGGCTCACAGGTTAAAGATTACGTTTGTTTAACAATTTTCTCCACACTTTTAAGCTCAGAACCAAAGGTCAGGTTTAAGGTCAGGTATCTTGTGTATATGACTACACCGGTGTAATCACATTTGTTTTAATTTTATTTTGTATGCAATGAGAGTTCGTTTTGTGAGATTGATGAGAAAGCTATTTTAAAAAAATCATGTTTTGCTGCAGTCACTGAAAATATTAACATTCCTGATTTCATTTTTAACTCATTGTTATTTTTCATTTTTGAAGACCTATCGAACGACACCCAGTGAAGTATTATGTAATTTAGTCTATTTTGTATTGTCTGTTTGGTGGAAGGAAGTTTTAATGTTTTTTTCAACTTGTTTTCATTTCGGACTTTTGGTCATCAATACACACCCATTATTCATGACGATAGGTGCATCAAAGAGCGGTTTATTGGCTGACGCCCATAAAAGAACCCTGTACCATTCCTATTATGCAGATTTACACAAAAAGGAATGTTCAGAAATTTTAATCAAAGTGTCCGAAGTGTTGCTTACAATACTTTTCAATTACCTTTTAGTCTGATAAGATTCAGGTAGACCTGTATCACTTTTTATTTCATTGTCAGACCACTGTGCAGATCGACAAACTTTATTTGTACCACTACACAAAATTATCAATTGTCATGGTAACTTGCAATACATTTGACATTCGTCATTGTTGAATCGGTAGTTCCTTTTACAGATGTCAGCTTCACAAACAAGTTGGTTGAGCTGTACAGTTAGAAAACAATTATTTACTTATCTAGTAAAGATTTTTAACATCCCTAGGTGCACAATTCATGCAGCATGCTCAAAATCATAATTTGCTTGTGTAGTTTTAACGACTTGACGACACTATTAACATTCGTTCATGTTATTGTTAATGCTGTATATTGGCCTACCAAAAAAAAAAAAAAGTTTCCGAACCTATAGGGCATTCAATCACAAATAGAGCATCTATAGCGCGTCAGTCTTCGTTTGGTCGACCGACAGCGCGCTTGTCAATCATGGCGTACTGTAGGTTATAACAAAAGCTAGTAAAAATGATTCAAGTAAAATGTAAAAACGGGATCGTGTATTAAACTTTCATTAAATAGTATATTGTGTTATCATATTTATCATTTAAAAGTATTATTGTGTACAGCAGTATAGTATTTCATTTGTATTTAAATTATTCGTAAATGGGCACTTATGTTACAAAATGTCGAAATTCTTGTCCTTTAAGTAAAAAAAAGTATTTGATTCTTGCCGTAAACATTTAATAGCAAATTATACTTTAATTGCTGCAAATGTCTACATAAAATATTGATTATTCTAATTACTTAATTATAATAAAATATCCCCAAAATCATTCCCTCGCTGTCCCAAGTTCCATTGTCAAACACGTTCTGTGCTTTAAATCAACAAATTAAATTTTAAACATTCGATCAAATAAAATATGTTTTTGCTAAATTAAATTATTCACGTCCCAATAAAAAAAAATCATTCCCTGTTACTTTTACCTTCACTCGATTTGTGAATGGATTTTTGACAGTCATTACCTCACGTCATACAAAAAGAAATTAAGCATTTGATTTTATTTATTAATTATGCACTCAGATGAGTTATTCCTAGTAGTAAGCTTACACAAAATATTGAGTCTAAATGTAACTTTATGTAGCTATTTTTTCTTGGTTAATTTTGATATCGTCATTCCCTGAACCTCAAATGTTCCGACAACCCTCTTCTTTTCTTAAATGTCATTTATTTTGTGTACCACCATATCATCAAAAACTATTTACGTAAGTACTATGAAATTGACAAGAAATAAATACAAGGGCAGTTCTCATGATATTTCGAAATTTGTGCCTTCGATTTAATGAATATGTTTAGGAAGAATTTGTATTTATTTTTTGTCCATTTCATAGTGCTTACGCAATAGTTTTTGATGAAATAGTGGTCCCCAAAATAATTGACTTAAGAAAATGTATAGGGCAATCAGAACATTTGAGTCAGAAGAAATGATGGTGAGGGAATGAGGAAATCAAAATAAACCAAGAAAAAATAGCGATATAAACTTACTTTTATACTTGATATTTTGTGTAAGCTTACTGCTACCAATAACTCGTCTGAGTGAATAATTAACAAACAAAATCAAATGCTTAACTTCTTTTTATATAATGTGAGGGAATGACTGTCAAAAATTTAACTTTTAGAATTTTAAATTAAATCTTTTCATAATAGACCATTTGAATTTCGTCATTTTGAAACGTTTACAGTGCTGCTAACTTTCAAAAACTTACAAAATGCATTTACCAAAGATGAAAAATGTGTTCACAAATCGAGTGAAGGTAAAAGTGAGAGGGAATGATTTTTTGGTTAGGACATGTATAATAATACATATTTTGAATTTATCGTGTTTTTGCCACAGTTTAGTTTTAATTTTGCACATATTAATACAATATTTTATTTGATCGAATGTTAAAAATTTAAAGATTATTTTTGTTAAATATGTTGATTTAAAGCACAGAACATGTTTAATTATGGAACTTGAGACGTAGTGAGAGCACGGTTTTGGGGATATTTTTATCTAAGTTTTTTTTTTATTTAAATAAATTAATCAATATGTCATGTAAGCATAAGTAGCAATTGAATTATAATTTGATATTAAATATTAATTTTACGGCAAGAATGAAATACTTTTTTTATAAACCTAAAGGACAAGAATTTCGAGATTTTGTAAGAATTACCCACCAATTCTTACTAATATTTTTCATAAATATCGAAAGCACGAATTTCGGAATTTCATGAGAACTAACCAAATGTACATAACATAAAATAATCAAAGAAGCAACTGTCCTTATTTTACACATAGCATGGTTGTTCAGTTCAATTGTTCGAACCACACGCAATTGACACATTTAGAACAAATAAACGAAAGAGTCGTTTTGACGTTAATGTTACTCTTAAAAATATTTTTTATTAAATGATAGTTATAACGTAACTAACAAAATATTGTTATACTTACGGCTTGTGATTACCTATCGGAAGTCCGAAATATCGTTTACGCGGCTTTTCGAGAAATGACGGTTCGAAATGTCACAGGCATAGTTTTATATCTAGGTGTACAAGTGATAATCGTATTTTCTCTGATTTGTATCGGACTAAGCGCGTTTTTCCGAATCCGAGACTCTACAAATTAGAAAACTCGGTCGCGCTTCGGATAACGCTTGTGCACTAAATCCGAGACAATACGAATACTTAGAGATAAAATGAGCCATTTTGAACCGTCATTTCTCGGATTCGGAACTGATACGAATCGGACGTAGTGCGCAAACGCTCTTAATGCACAAGCGACATCCGAAGTGGGTCCGAATTTGTAGTCTCGGATTCGGACTATAAAGTCAGTACTTTGTGGACTCTCAATATTTCCAAACTTTGACATTTGACGTATAACGTGGTGTAATGCTTTTCAGTCTTTCGAGTCGGTAGGGATTTTAAATTTAGTTTTAGTGTGAAAGAAAAGAATAATAAAAAAAAATTGTAAGTAACGCCAAGCGTAGAGGAACTCAAAAATATACCATTTCTGTTACCACTAGCATACCCCGGACACTCCATACAACGGTCGAAAATTATTTACCTACTACTACTACATACAGCAAGGCGCTATCTGCACACGCATAAATGTGTGCGTGAAGTGGCAGGGTTACCCATCACTTTCTCGCACTATTACGTTACGCGATCGGGGCGGCAACATAGCGAAATTTCTAACGCGAGTCTGTTATCTATGATTTTATTCATAGAATCCTAATAAATAAACATATCTATTAGGTATTTATATCGACATATTATTATATTTTTCATTAATTCACTAACTAGAGTAATATTGAAGCTTTATTTCAAAAATATATTAAAAGCACTTAAAATGTTATATTTCGGACATGTACTTTTAAGTAAGGTAACCAAGGTATCTGAAATTGCTTGTCCAAGTTTAGTTAATAATTAGATATATTCACTACTTACGTAATATTTATCGGCAATACGAACAGAAAATGCGTGAAGTAATGGCGTCTCATTATATTGATATAATAAATCTGTATTTTTTATACATACATACATTAAATAAATGAAGAAAACAATAACTGAATGAGACTCAGACATAAGTTTTTCTACTTCGTTTCATCTTTCGGAAAATGATGATAAACAGCCATACGCAGCACAATTCACGACCATTATAAATAGTAACGTAAAATGATGTTTTATATTAACGTACAAGTTTCGTAATGAATACAAGAAAACTATATTCAAATCAAAGCCGTCTCTCTTCGCACGAAAACGGCTCGCCGGCAACCTTGTTGTCGTTCAGCCAATGTGACCGGCAATGTGCGGGGCGTGGTGCAGTATCTAAAACTAGGGAGGGGCGGAGAGTGTCCGTTCTCTATTCTTTATTCTCTGCCACTAGACCACCTAATATCGAATGAATACCAATGGCAGTTCCCTTTATTAATAGAGACAGAAAAATGTCACGTGAAACTTCAAATATACCATATGTATATATGGTATCTTAATTATCTCAATGCCCACAAGAAAAGGTATTATAAAGTATAAGTACAAAAAAGGTATTAAAAGTATAGGTATAAAAGTATAGGTACAAATAATAACATATGGGAGAAAACAGCGTATCTCTTATTCCAATTGAGTGAAGTCGCGAAAAGCAACAAGTCCTTTTATAATAAAATACTTTTCGTAATATGCTTATTACTCCGTACGTTGTTGAAATTTACATTTTTCGTATGTAAATCTGATTAAATTTAACAACACCTAACAATAATAAATTAATGTCATAATAATCAAATAAACATTAAAATTCATCAAGTTTAACTGAAAGATGATTAATATTTTTTAAATTTTCGTGTTTTTCATAAATTTCCATAAAAATAAACACAATATCGTAATACGTACAACTGGAAAAAATAAGAAAAACATTTTTATTTAAACCCTGTTTTTTCATTCTGGTACATTGTAAGTGCTCTGTATGATAAAGTAAAAGAATCAGGATTTTCGAACGTCCGTAAAAGTTAATTTGCTCTAGCATGATTGTATGAGGCAGCGATAATCAGCAGCTCTCTATCTGGACTGAATTGACCCTAACGCTAAGAACAATTACGGCAAAAATAATGTCATGTCGTCCGGTCGTCTGAAATTGCATTGCCCAAACATAATGCTAGCAAAGTTTTATTAGTTCCCGTCGTCTCTAGCCTGAAGTGGAGGGGTTTTGCTATGCATATTATAGTGAGGACATACTAAATGGGAGAATGAAATATACAGAAAGAACGCGATGTGGCTCGCGCGCGCGAACGGTCTCGGGCGGCGCGCGAGGAAGAGCGGCGCCGGCGAGCGGCCGAAGACGCACTTCGCGAGCGCGAACGGCGCCAGCGGCAGGAGAAACACCGTCTGGCGGTAGAGCGGGAAAAGCTACGCGCAGAGAGGTAGGTATCACCAATTTTCTCATCTTAAATTTGTGCTTGAAATCCACCAAAACACCCGCACTTTCAATAAAGCCTTGGGTTTTGAATCAAGTTAACCTTACAACTTTATTCCAAATAGAGAAAAGATTGAACGTGAAAAGAATGAGTTGCTGAGACTAGAACGAGAACGCCATAGACTAGAACGAGAGAAGCTGGAGTTGGAGAGACTTGAACTCAAGAGAGCCCAGCTCAGGTAATTAATTCATAATTATTGTAAAATATTTAAACATTAATTATATTGTGACAAAGTTAACTAGAAAGGAAAATCAACAGATTGGAAGAAGAGCGCCGTAAACGCGGGTACGAGAGCAGCTCCACTTACCGCAAGCCTGCATCGAGTCCGCCGCCAGAGCCTTCATACGATCGTGATCAAAGGCACAAACGCGCACCGCCACCACCAATGGTCAGTACTAACAAGTAATAAATTTTGTACAAGAATTTATTGTTAATAAAAACTTATATAAGTTTCCTGGCGTGTTAATGCTGTGAAAATAAAATAATATGTAAATATTTCTAGACATCAAGCCGCGGACAGTTCGAAGCGCCACCGCCGCCTCGGTTCGAGATGAACTCTGGCTACGACCGCGGATCTGACAAGCGTGACCGCGATCGAGACTACAAACGGGGTGACTACTCTCGCCACGTCTCTTGTGAGTCTAAATTCTTCAGCTAGAGCGCAAATATGTTTCTGCTACATCTAAGTTATAAAGAACAACTTATGACATGACACTTTTTTTTTTTGCTGCAGCTGGAAATATGAAATACACTAGTAATGGCAGCTCCAACGACGACACCCGGCAACCAATGCCGCCCGGTACTAGACCTAAAGAGCCTAGGTAAGGTCCGGTACAAACATGCATATCCATCTTTCACGTCATGGTTTTTGACGTAACATAAGGACATTTTCTTTCAGCCGATCATACGAATCTCGAGATAGCCGCTCATACCGCCCTTCTTCTCCAAATAAACCTGAGCCACGAAGTTGGAACTCTTCTAGTCGTTATCCCGACACTGCCCCGTCTAAAAGTAAGTGAAAACGAAAATCTGTAATAAATCTATAACAAAGTAAAAGTTCATGCCGTTCACTCTGCTCAGGAGGGCAACATTAACAAATTTATTTTTGTGCTGATACGTAGTTATTTGCAAAGGCAGCGGAGGTGGCGGCAGCAGCGAGACATGGTCGACTGGTGACGCTCGCTACGGCGGCAGTACATACGAGACACGCTACGCGCCCGCTTACCAGCCGCCGCCACCCGGCGCACCCTACCCCGACCGCTATGCGCCCCCAGCGAGGGATTACCGCAAATACTAGCATAAGTCGAAGCGTAAAGGTAGAGTGACATTTTTATAACGTGTAAATTCAAATATTAGTATTATATTCATGATTGCCTACACATTAACGGATCTTGTTCCGTTATTCGAACAAAAGTGTATAGCTTGATAATGCTGTTGACTGTACAAAACGTTCCATCTTCAAAGTAGATAACTTGTTAACAATTTTTTTTTTTTTCAGATAAATAAAAAATTACGATATGACATGCACAGATTATTTACGACAATCAGTTGTTTATTATGGAAGTTTTAATGATTTATCCTTCTCATCTAGTAGAAAGTTAATAAATAAAATTCCTATTTCGGGTACGTACAACGTAAATGGTTGATATCACAGATTGGTACCAGTTTTATTGTATAAATAATTATCAATTAAACCTAGGTTTGTGAATATTTTTATTCTGGCGTGATAGTAGTTCTGCATGGATATATAACCAATAATATTTTGCTTGCTTGTTCAAATAAATAATTTCAACTTGTACATAACTGTGTTTATATTTAAATATGTGATGTAAGGGTTCTTTAACACAACATTTTAAAGCTCACGTCTTCTGTTATGAGATTAGCTCAAAGAAAGTGCCTTCCAAACAGAGTTGTCTTTAGGTACGTGCATGAAAACCTCCTTATGAACGGCATCTAACTTCCTATTCATGCCGACCCATTTGCACGTCGTCGTCTTCCGTGACAAAATGACGAATCGTCGACCAGTTAAATGGAGCAAATGATACGAAATTTGAGAATAGACAGAAAAATCATTTTGAAATAAGGTATGTTAATGTTTGGTTTTTACTTAGTTTATTCCTTCGAACGAGTAAATGCAAATCGACCGCGTCGCTCCGCGCATCCTCGCCGCACTGATCAGCCGCTCATTTTATGATTAAATGACAACGTATTAGAAACTGTTTGTTGAACAAATTGGTTAAGTTTGTAAACTTCAAACTTAAACAATTTTTTCAAATAAATATAAAGTCTTTGTTTCTATAAATCATGATGATCTTATATTTATTTATTTAAAATGCAAGTAACAATAATACAACTTCCGTTAGAGAAGTACGGTACGTAGTCGCTAATTTACATTATTTTATGCGTTACAAATATACTAATAAAACTTACAGTTTAGATTAAAATGACATGTCAAATATCCTATCACCAGCATGCGTTAAGTACATAAAATAACAAATAAAATAGGTAACATAAGTTATACTTAATTCAATAAAATAACTATGTATTTAATACGTCGATTTAAAGCTTATAGAAATAATGCATCGGTTAAACTACGCGACATTACGTACTGTGACGATCCTAATAATTCGGTTTTCAACATAGTGAAAACTTTTAAGTCTAAAATTATAACCATAAAAGACAATGGCTATATGAACTTTACAATGAAAGGATCTACAGTACTAGTAATAGTTTTAAGGGTTTTGTTAGAAACTATCGAAAATGTTTAAGCGCTATAGTGTAGCAGCTAGAGCTAGAGCAATGTTTTTTTTATAAAGAATAAAATTAAAAAGAGCGCGGAAATATTAAAGACGACTTCAAATATTATAAAAACCGAAACAGGAAGAGTCAAACCTTGTAACTTACATTTTCAACTAAGATTTGATGACAAAATTGTAAACACGACGCAGAAGTTGCTAATTGAAAAAAAATTTACTGACATTCCAATTTCGACTACTAAGTCGTTCAATTCGTCCCCCACTGAATGAATTTTGAATCCTAAAAGAAAACATTGGAATTAGTCTTACTAATTTCAATTTCCGTCATATATTTCTGGTCTTGATGGTCTTTACGCCAATAAATAATTCTATTATTGATTGTATTGCGCCTCACTGAGCATGTGCTAACAAATGTGTTGAAGATGATGTGACAAAGAATATCAATATTGTTACAGTTTAAAGCTAGTTCAATTTTCAACTTGCTTTTCATGAATATTTTGGTGCACCAGATTTAATATACAATTTATTTTATGTATGTTTTGTAGGCTAGCTTTTTATTGCAAATATATTGCCGTAGTCCTCTCCATTTTCTTATTAATTAATTGAAATACTAATAATAATTAAATTTTTATTGAATTGATATTCAATTATTTTTTGTGAAATTACTCCACTAGTTTGTTATAATTATTAATACAAAGATCGAACACTCAGAAAAAACACTCAGAAAAAATTCCTTCGATCCGGTCGGATTCGAACCGACGTCTTCTTGCATACCGTGCCAGACGCTATACCAACTAAGCCACGGAACGAACCAACGGACCTCACAAATTTCTCTATGTGCTTGCATCGTGTCTTTGTACTTGGTCTTTCAACGACTTTTTAGTCGTAGCGCCATCTATGAGAAATCTATTACAGATTTATCACCCAGTTAGTACCTTTACAGCTACCAGTCCTGGCGAGAGATGTCGCTATTCACTGTGTTAATTAAATTTTTATTGAATTGATATTCAATTATTTTTTGTGAAATTACTCCACTAGTTTGTTATAATTATTAATACAAAGATCGAACACTCAGAAAAAATTCCTTCGATCCGGTCGGATTCGAACCGACGTCTTCTTGCATACCGTGCCGGACGCTATACCAATAATATATATATAATGTAATAATTATAACATACTAATAATAATTCGAAATTGAAGTCTTCAATAGATTGATTAATATTAGTAAACTGAGTTCTGTCAATGGACTACTCAATTGAAGCAGCCGATTTGATAGCCAACGATTTAGCTGAATAACGTGGGGCGCACTATAAGTTTCGCACTATGAATAAAAAAAATATCATAAATGATCAGAATTGAATTTATTGTTTCTCAAAATATTCGGCGTTAACGCACTTTTTCAGACGAATGAACCAATTTTGAAAACATCCCCACTCCCCCGTGACAATCTCTGAAACATATTTTTCATACTCTTCGACAGCCTCTTCAGGTGATGAAAATCGTTGACCGCGTAACTGGTTCTTAATTTTTGGAAATAAATAAAAGTCACAAGGTGCCAGGTCGGGACTAGACACGGGATGGCTCATAAGGTCAACGTTGTTCACCTTCAAAAATTCATTTGTCTGTCTGGCCGTGTGAGAACTGGCGTTATCGTGGTGCAAGATTATATGGCGTTTACGGTTATTTTTACGGAGTTTGTCTATAACTTCCGGCAAACATGATCGTGTACCAATCACTATTCACGGTACAACGATTCTCCAAAGCAACAGTAGCCACGTGTCCGTTTTATTTAAAAAAAGTAGAAATTATCCGCTTGGAGGCACTTTACACGCGCGCCACTTTGGTTGGTTTCGGCTCATCTCGAAAGAGCCATACGCTCGATTACTGCTTTGTTTTGGGATCGTAACTATAAATCCATATATCGTCACTTGTTACTCTGTCCCACACCATATTTGTCGCCCCTTCGTTGAATCTGGTAAGCATGGCATTGCACCGAGCGACGCGATCCGTTTTTTGAGCCTCGGTCAAATTGTGTGGGATCCACCTAGAGCACAGCTTTTTCGCACCCAAAAGTTTGTGTAGTGGCATAAATGTTTTCAAAATTGGTTCATTCATATGAAAAAGGGCATTAACGCTAGCGGAGAATATTTTGAGAACCAATAAATTTATTTCTGACCATTTATAGTATTTTTTTTTCTTATTCATTCCGGAAACTTATAGTGCGCCACGCGTATAACAATAGGTACTATTTTAAATTCTGTTTCAGCTGGCTACTGGCAAGAAGGTATTTTTTAGATTCTATACAAGGTTCCTACGTCAACAATAGCCTCAACTCACACTGGCGCAGAGTCGATGTGTCGCGATGCGTTTTGTTTTTCGTCTATGGCATATTCGTCTCTATTTTCCCATTATTAAGGTACAAATTTGTGTTTTGCAAATATGGAGCGCGTCGCGTGTCGCCGCGCATTACTTGGGCGCAGTGAGGCGTCTGACGCCGACCACTCTGTAATCCGGGCGCACTAATGCCATCAGGCGTTGTAATTGAAAAACAGAACGCGACGCTTCGACTCTGCGCCAGTGTGAGTTGAGCCTAAGGAGGGATCAGTGACATCTCCATCGATAAACTTTAAAAAGCACTATATTAAAGCACTCGCTCAATTTGTTAATATAACGCAGTACCTCGTATATTCAAAAGGAGATCCGCCAAATCCCATACAAAATTACCCCAGGCCCGGCGCCAAAATAATGTAACTCAATTTTTAGAGTAAAAATAGCAAAAATATTATATAGTTTCGGTATTGCTAAATTCACATGCTAACATTGTCTTTTTGCCCGTTGAATTTTAATAGGGGCTCTTTGTAAAATTAAATGTTTTAGAGAAATGTCGTCATTTTTAGTTCATTAATCTTGTAATTAGTCATTATGGCGTATAAGCATGTATGTACTGTACTGTAAACTATGAAATGTCTACGACGTTGCCGTAATGATCGTGTACACAAAATACAAACGTCTGCCATTTCACAAGAAAATCAAAAGTCCGGGAGGGTTAAACAAAGTAAAATAAAGATCAAGGTAAGGTATCGCACAGTTCACAGTACACAACACAACAAACGTTAGCGTAGGACTGCGCGTGAGCAGAGCACGCCAAAGCAAAGCGGGCGTCTGCGTGTTTCTCCCTCTAAACCATTATATGTGAGCGAGACAATAAGATGTATCCAGTTGTGCCCTCACGTCACAGGTGCGTTCATCCGTGCGTGTTCATCCTTTCTTTGCCGATTGCTTGAAGGTCATGCGGCCATTAAGTAAAGTCGCGTAAAGCGATAATATAACAATACAAATATACTTTATTTAAATTATTTGTTTGAACGTATTTGTTGTTGTACCTTTATGCGAATGTTGATATATTTATCATTATATAATACAAACAAAAAGCTAAAACTAAAACATTTGACTTGATTCTTCTATTTATTTATGGGAAGTTTATACTATTTTTTTTTCTAAATAAAAATATAACTGCAAATGAAATATGTTTATATAATATGATTGATATACATGCTTATATGCCATAATTATTTATTACAATGTTAATGAACTAAAAAGGACGACGCTTCTCTAATAAATAGAATTTTTCATAAAGCGCCTATGAAAATTCAACAGGCAAAAAAACTATGTTAGCATGTGAATTTAGCAATACCGAAACTATATAATATTATTGCTATTTTTACTCTAAAAACTGAGTTACATTATTTTGGCGCCGGGCCTGGGGTCATTTTGGCGGATCTCCTTTTTGAGACAAACTTCGACTTAAAAAAAAGGTAAACCTAGTAGTTGTTTATAATTCTTATTTCAATTTGAAATGTTTGTGTTCTGTTTTTAATTTCTATTTCTCGTGATGGAGGGAACAAAACTGGGGAGAAGGGGACCTTTGAACATTTTTTACGTAATATCTGGTTGTAAAATCCTAATTTATTTTATTTGTTTACTGCTGTAGTTAGACCTATTATTTGACTACAATCATTGACTTAAGTCAATAGCTACAATCGTTAATAATAAGCACGATCAAAAATGTGTAATACTGTCAGAATTCCCATTTTTGTGAAGGAACTCAAAACCCGCCTGGGGCACCTGAATTCGTTAATTTAAATGAAAATTACTTATTTCATCACATCACAATTTGTTGAATTTCCGTACGAACTTTTGTCGCACCCCCCGTTTTCACTGATTTGACCCCATCTGACTTTTAACTCTTCGCAAATATGAAGAAATAACCTGGGAGACAAAAAATTGTATTAATTGAGGAAATGATAGCTGAAGCAAGGGCCTATTTTTAGGTAGAAGCAGTGAGCATTCAACCCATCAAAAGGTATTTACAAATATGTCATTGGGTCGAAGAAATTGGAATATCGCTGGTCAAGGAGCAGAATTAAAAGTGGATTACCTAAAAAAATAAACCATTTTTTTTAAGTTCTCAAAGTCACGGATTTACCAAATCGCCCTCGTAGATCGTGACCGTCAGGATGGCTGGTCGCCTGTGACGTCTGGCACCGAGGGTATATTCAAGAATTGCTACCTTTTATAAATAATAATTACCTCTGACATATTCTGAGAAATTTAAAATAATATTCTGATATCAGGGTCGTAAAATTTTCAATCGGTTATATTTTTTACCTAATGTAGATAAGAAGCGTATATATTTATTACCTTTAATTCATGAAAGTAGGAAATAAGTAGCAATTATTGGTAATACATTCTGGAAAATCTGCTCCCTTCATGCCGAACAAAGTGGCGACCAGCCGGTCAGAATGGCTGGTCAATTATTTTTTAATTTTTCGGAATATATCAAAGATAGCTATTATACTATATAGAAAAGGTAGCAATTCTTGAATATACACAGTGCCAGATGCCACAGGCAACTACTCGATTCGCCAGAGTAGCGTAATCGGATGTTGATGACAAAACCTACTCACAATGGGTAAATGTTATTGAAGCATTGTCCCTTATAATATAAAAGAAAACAGTAAATTTGATTAAGTTCATTTATTTCTACAACACTATAAAATAACATTATGTTGATGGACACTACTGGTCAAAATGAAATTTGATTTCACCTTAGATAACTACCACAACTGAAACACAAAGGTGTTAATAAGATTCTATGTTAGCCATGAACAGAAATCATAATAGACAGAGAACCTAAACTTCATGTAATGCTTCTGGAATCCTGAAAAGACTAAAAATAAAAGGAAAAAAATCCAAAAGAGTTCTATTTATACTTACAATAACAAAACTATTCTATTAAAAACACTACCATAATTAAGTTGCTGACAATTGTAAATACAGAACAAAATACAATACAAAAATCCCAGGATGTCCAAGGAAAGTATTACTGGCTCTGTTACTTGGAAGTTTTCTGTCTATTAAAATTTTTGGTCATGAAATGACATATTTGTTAAATTAAATGACGCCATATGATCATCAATTACTAGCTTATTCCTAAACACTAATGTGCATTTCCATCTTTGCATGAATTGTTCTTGTCAATATCATAAGTACTAAAGACTAGAGGCTGACAACATTGAGACATCACATTGAAAGCTATTTATTAATATTTATGGCCCAGCAGATCAAAATTATTCACAAATATAATTATTAGCAAATGCACATGAAAAAGGAACAACAAAATATACCTCCACCACTAAGATAACCAATTTCATGGAAAAGTATTCTTTCTTACTTGTCAATAAACTGTTGCATGACAATTTTGTTCCTGGGTGTAGTTCACATTTTCAACAAAAAGATTTGTAAAAGTTGGGACAATGTTGTCATTGTGTGCATAGGGAGGATACTGATAATTCCAAGTGCTGTTGTTTCGCATTGAAGAGTTTGCTGGTTCTACATCAAGTGATTTTAGAGCATTAACAGCATCTTGTTGGCCTTGAACTGCTGCTAGTTTGAGCAGTCGTGTTGCAGTTCCAATGTCGCGTGTGAGCCCACCTCTGCCCTGCCCGTAGTAAATTCCCAAGTTGTATAAAGCACCTGGATGTTCCAGAGCAGCTGCAGAACGATACAACTCCATTGCCTGTACCAGAAGTAAAATTGATTTAAATGAAATGGTAGGGTTGGGGATATTCTTATATGAATCTAATAAGTTACTTACAGCTTTCTCGTCAATGGTAACACCAATACCAATTTCATAACACAGCCCTAAATTGTACAGGGCTGGTGCATGGTTTCGGTTAGCAGCAGACCTGAGACACAAAAATGTTGCTTTATGTTAAATAAATTCATAATGTGCAAATACCAACTACATGTAACATATTGATCATAGTGTGCAATTGTCAGAATGTTTTTATTGAAATGTTTAAACATGTAGCGAACCACCTACAGCATCAATGTGAAGCTGGCGAAACACTGATTGTGGTTTGCAACCTTAGAGAAATACCTTAGCAAGTTAAGTCCATCTTGCAGTTGACCATTTTCAATGGCAGCCAATCCAAGTCTGTTCTCAATTGAGTTCAGAACTTGTCCTAAGTCCCCATCACTGGAATTTGTGTCAGTATCAGTGTCAGTGGAGGTACTGGTAGTTCTTTCATTGCTTGAATTGTTTTGGTCATTTGAAATTAAGTACACAGTGGGTGTGAATATTTCTATAATCTTCCCAACATTTGTAGCAGAATTTAAGCATACTGCATCTGCGTCAACATGTTTAACATAAGGATGCAATGTAGAAATCAAGTTCTGTATAGTCAAGCCGCTTTTGTGATGTTTATTCTTATGATACTTGTATTTCAGATGCAACAGCTGACTCGCGTACCATCCCACTACCAACGCACTACTCTGTAAGAAATCAGGAAAAAAAATTTTAAAATTATTATAGGTTGAAATAAAAGATCTTAATAAATTTTAAACAAAATACAATATTCCATTTTTTGTACGATAACGTAACAAATAAAGCCAAAATAAATGTTAGCCGAAAATAAACACTGATTATTATCTTACCCATGTTATGGCACCAATCCAAGTGCGATTGAGTTGATCAAAGTTCCAGCGCTTGCTGTTAGTATCATTGTCGCCTTTAAATGATTTCCAGCATTTTTGGGAGCTGAACCAACAGCAAGGAGCTGATCGATTGGTCTTATCTTCAGAAGCATTGGTAGCAGAGTTCACAACCCCAGCGGCGCTGCGTTTGTCGAAATGGTTGACACTTCGTTCAAAAGTATCTCTGATGCGACGCGACACATACTTCCACATGATGAGATCCGTGTTCTACATCAAATTTCTTAGAATGAGGCCATGGTCGGCCGGAAGACCGAACGCGACGATTAGATAAAAAATTTAGAGATCTTGAAGATCCCCAAAAGTACTTTGTGAGATCCCCACAACGCAAAACAGCATCTGCTTCTGCACTAAACTTTTTTTGTAAAAATTTAACGGCTTTCGACTTTGGCATTAAGCCATACAGCCTACAACAGCTATTATTCATATGACATCACAAGCAGAAATGATTTAACTGTAAATAGCTTCGTAATTGTTTATGTTTTTAGTAGAAACGGCAGGATGCGGGGAATATTTTGCTCTTTTTAGTCTATTTAGATATCGTAGATGATACATTAGATATATCATCGGGGGTAGTGCAATTCCGTGTTTCTATCTAAACATATTAAAGTGGATTCACAATGCACAAATTGCAGCAATATGTAGTCAGAATTTGTTCATTGTGAATCCACCTTTAATATTATTTGCTCAAAAATATGATTTTGATCCCTGTGACACTTCATTTGATGTTCGAAAAGGGGTGAGGTAAAAGTCGATAGTTTTTTTAGTGTATTTTTGAAGCAAAGTTCTCTATCTAACTAATACGGATATGACTTATTATTTATAGTTTATTATACTTATTTATAGTTTTATCGAAGAATTTCGTTATGAATTCGGAAAAAGAAATTAATTTATATTTGGTGGTTGTAAACACTCTGTCACTCCTTGTACCTATACGTAAACAGTTATCAATTTATTTGGAACATCCTATTCCGACCATTGATTCTAAATATTGTACTGGAAAAAACCTCTACATGCTGAAGAATGTTGCATAAAAGTCCGTTAAGGATAGTGTCTCAATTTTGGTGTACCTATTTACAAACTTTAAAAATTATAATTTAATGCCAATTTACCAAATCTAAGTAGTAGAGCACCTGCTTAGATTTGGTAAATTGGCATTAGTATTGGCGTAGCGTTGGAAAAAGAATTTCGTTATCATTTTGAACAATGACCTTATACACTTCATAATAGCCCTATAATGATAACAACAAAATGCCAAGGAAAAAGGAAATTACATACTTAAATTACTACTTAATTTTATCTTTGCAAAAGAGGATAAAAACTACGACGTTTTAAGTATGTTTAAAAAAATGGTTACCTTCACTTTGTTTTCGTCCAAAAAGTATAGAATGCAATATTATCGTGATTGTGGCGGAAGGGAATGGAAGCGGATTTTTGTTACGATGTTATATGTAGCGTAATGAACTTTATGGTCAATTGTGTAACGTACATACAAACTAGATACGAACGAAAAAAGACGTCTCTCGTATCCGCGGAATTGTCGTAAAATCCGCTGCTGCCGTCGGCGACGCCTGGCGAATCCTTGGGTAGTGGCACGAAAGCAGTCGCAGTATAACGTCAAACATCGACGAAAAACTATAGCTTCAAGGCGCGGTCGATGGAGTGCTTGAGCGTTCGAGCGAACGCGGGCGCCTTCTCGCATAGCGAGGCGAAATTGACGCTTCCGTTCCATTACGTTATGCTGGAATGTACATTGAACCTAAGTGTTTGGCTCAATGTATATTCGTCCGGACTAGGACGAAGTATTCCGACCAGTTCGCTGCTAGGCTACCAACTGCTCCACGTCCTGTGGCCTTCCTTCTGCGCTGACGACTAAACAGGGGAGTACTATACTCGGAAGCGGAAAACCATAAATCTTAAGGCACGTTACCAAGACCCGTATTAATATAAATTTATGTACAGGGTCAAGAGCACGTCAAGCTTTACACTTAAGACTTAAATCCAACTCTATGCCGCTTACGATAAGAACGGTCCAAAATGCAAAGTGTCAAGTTTGATGTGCTCTTGACTGTACCACTTTCGGTTTATTTTATTCAAAATTTAAATTTTAAATTGTGATTTTTTTGTTTCATATTATAATTATTTCTATTTTCTGATTTCTTTTTTAATTTTCTACCCTCTTAGGAAAAATAAGAACTAGGGAATAAAAAAATAGGGAAAGGTACAACTCTTGAGTATTGGTCACAGACCAAACTTCCGTGGTATTGGGGTTCCGTGGTCATATTCTCTTTGGGTGTTCTGTGGTTTGGCATTATGCCTCCAGATTACCTAGTATAGTACAGCATTTTAATATTCTATATTATTTTCTTCATTAAGTATTCTAAATTTTTTGTGAACGTTTTTAAACTTAACTTACACATTTCTGAAGCAAATTATAAGTGGTGTAAATAAATATTCCATGGAAACATAGTTCCGAGTTATTCTGTACTCTTGGTACAAGTAAGCATATTCTACGATTTGGAGGCAGTTAACCACTATTTTCAGGTAAACACAGCTTAAAATTTTTAAGCATTCTGTTCCTTAATGAACATGTTGCCTAACATTTGTTAACAATTAATGTATCACCCAATGTATCCGCCTGTTCCACTAGTCCGTAATAGCTGTGTCTGTGTGTCCCCTGGTGGAGACTAGTGGATTTTTTCCCACTCTTCCCTACTTAAGGAATGAGTGGAGTTTCATATCCTATACCGATATACCTAGCTATCGACTTATACTAAAAATATCAAGTGAAACCGTCTAACATATTCATTAGCGACAATGTTAAAGAGCACGGTGGTGGTGTAAAAAAGCTGACGCCATGTTGAATACCACATTCGTATATATTCACATGCCAGAAAAGCGGCTTAAGTTAACAAATCGACTTTTTTGGCCACACCAACTAAGAAGTGAATTAAGTGTTGTTTTAACTTACATTCACGCTTCAGCATACAGAATTTTGTTATTTTGCCACGGACCGTTTAGTCTTACACTACCCGTCGTTACCAGAGTTACTTAATGTCTTAACTTTATATTGTTTTTACAGATTACCTTTTATTACCTTTGTCGGTATTACGGAACTAGTAAATGGGTGGTGCAACGTTGTCGATAGATGCAGACGGTAGGTACAGGGTCAAGAGCACGTCAAGTTTGATACTTAAAATTTAAGTTCAACTATATGCCACCTGCGATAAAAATCGTCCAAAATCCAAACCATCAAGCTTAACATGCTCTTGTCTGTGCCAGAGGGCGTCAAACGCGATGTGTATGCAATGGACAGCATGCTGTGCCCTGCTGTCATTGCAGTTGTTGTCGCTGTTAGAGGCGCGAGCTACGCTACACTCTACTTTAAATAGGTATTAGGGTTTGTTATACTGTATATAAATATTGTACGTTTTTCCTATAATCTACTTCTTATTTAAGAGTCAGCTCTGTTTAGCGCTCTGACATAACATACAATCATTTATATTATAATCACGACTGGCTCGGTAATTTCAATTCTTAGATTTAGTTCTTTTAATATTCATTTCAAGTCGCAACTCGTACCTAGTGGATGAAGTAGCGCAACGACCATGGTTCATGCAAGGTGGCAAACGCCGACCTGTTGTCGACAGCGACAGCTTATCTGTTATGTGGCTATTTCCTGAAGATGCTCTGGGAGATGCTTTAGGCGAGGACAGGTAAATGAAAGAATTACTTTAAATGTTATTAGAAGGGTTATTTTCAGGTTAGTTTTGTGTACCTAATTTCGGTGTATTATTTAAGTATTTGAATAAATTATCGTCAAATATTAAATAATATTTCAGGATATTTCACTGGAATGTTATATATGTAATACGTCATGATAATATTCTACAGTATTTAAATTATAAAAATTCCCTCCGAAATTGTGTAGAGTAAATTAGCCTACTAGCCTACATAATTAATACGTACAAATTAATTGAAAGATGACCCAAAATAAGTGTCTACCTACACTTGATTGATTTTATTATCTATTAACCGTAACAGGATCATGAGTCTGTGCGTATCTTGTGTATGGGTGTATTATGGACTGTGAAATACCCAATAGGGTATTTCACAAATATGTTTCAGAAATTGTCACGCAGAAGTGGCATAAATGTTTTCAAAATTGGTTAATTCGTATGAAAAAGTGCATTAACGCTAACGGAGAATATTTTCAGAAACAATAAATTCATTTCTGACCATTTACAGTATTTTTTCTTATTCATTCCGGAAACTTATAGTGCGCCTCACGTGTCAATTACTGAGGATAGACCTGAAGATCGTTTTTGGATCAGCGGCGTAGGGTGGGGTGCAGAGAGGGCCATGGCTCCGGGCGGCTTCGAGCTCTAACCAGTCACATTTTTTTTACTCAAATGATACCTTGAACACAAAGGTGGCGACGGCAAACTAACACAAAAACACAATCGAGCCAAACCTGCCCGATCGTACTACTTTTATAATCGTGAAAATAGAGTGGGCAACAAATTTAAGGTTGGTCCCGAGCGGCAGAAATTAATGCTACGCCACTATTTTCGATATCACAATCTTCATTTGACCGGACATATTAACAGTTAAAATCAGCTGGAGAGATGCTCGCGTACCAGTTTATCAAAGGATTCTTAGCTTGTACAGCACTTATAACTTTCTACACAAATACCTACCTATCGCCGCCGTTTCTTTCAGAGTTCTTAATTCTGACATTTTGTATACCATTTAAGTATTTTAATTTCAAGGAATTTCTATATTGTTTTCACTTTTCATCTTTTTAAGTTTATTTGATGTTGTCAAATGAAAAGTATTAAATTTTGCTTCCCTTTTTGTTATGTAATCTATTTTCGCCCTCCTGGGTTTTTTCAGGATCATCGATCAATTAATGTATACAATTTCAAGCGATGTGCTGCTAAATAAGACGATCTTATTAGCAAATGAGTACAGCACATGGAATGTCCACAGTGGCCAAACAGAATTCGTTCAAAATAAGTGTCCGGTAGACCGGTGTATACTGACTATGAATTCGGACGAGTCTGGCACCGCTGACGCGATTCTGTTCAATGAATACCATACGACATTGAATGCCAGGCGTCCGCCAAATCAGGTGAAATTCAGTTGTTCTTTAAATACCTACCTGTAGACCGTTGCGTATATGCACCTCACTTTAATAATAATCATTTATATTCTATTATTACATTTTAGATATGGATCTTGTACTATCTAGAATCTATCTACGCAGTTCAATTTTGTCAAACATCCCCTTTACAAGTATTCAACTGGACGGCGTCCTATCGCCGCGACTCAGATATCGTTACACCTTATGAACGGTGGGTCTATTACAACCCCAAAATCACACAGAAGGAACTTGATCGAAATTATGCTGCTAACAAAACCAGAAAGGTACATAAACATAAAATGCATAGATCGAGGCCTGTTAAGCAAAATCATCAAAGGTGGCTCGTAAAATCTATCTAAAGTACGCCTATAAAATTAATTTTAGCCATTAATTAAATTACAGCCTTTAGGTTGTACCTATTTATGATGAAACAGCATTATCAGAATTATTAATACTCACGCAACAGGAGGACACTGGTTCGAATTTTTTTTTCTAAGGTCTAGTACCTAATAATGTAATTAGATACAGTATGTTTCTTATATTGCAGCGAAAGAGAGAAGTTTGCAGAGCTAAGTGTCAAACTTGTCCAATTGTGGTTACCAGTCAAATCAGTAATATTATAGTCCTCCTTATCGATTTCGACAACAGCGACTCTTTGACAATAGTTGTGATGTCCGATCACAAACAGAGCAATAAAGTTGCCCTACAGAGTTGAAAGTATTGTTATACGAGGTCTCCCTATACGTATTGCCGTTTCTCGTTTAATGTTTCTCGTCGTTTTGTTCGATTATTTTTACATTTTTATAGATAGTAGGTCGTCAAGTAGGTCGTCAAGACGACCTATGTGAAGCTAGCCTGTCCCAACCATTGTCGACTTCATGGTCACTTTCCATCAGGTTAGATGGAAGTCAAATTAATTTTTAATAACAAAAAGCTGATAATGATCCATATTAAAATAGCGCAAGCGTGTAGATGCCTCTTGAGCACGCACATCCTTATAGCGAATATTGTTAATTTTAACCACCATGCTTCCGTTTATCTTCCGCCATCTCGGAATAGAAGACAACTTTAGGCAAACGGTGGTCCTTCTTGCGAAAGACGTGGTCGCATTACCTGAGTTGACACTGCTTTAATAAAGCTTCTATGCCATACATCTCGGCCCAGGACTCCGTATTAGGGACACGGTCCTGCCACTTAATGTTCGAGATTGGTCTGAGACACCGTAGATAAAATGTGTCAAGTTTCCCAAAGTCTGGTTTATAAAGCCATGTTTCTGCGCCATAAAGAAGAACCGGTAATTTTAAAGGCCTGTAAACACTAATATGTCTTTGAGACTTCTGGAAATCTAGAGAATTCTGGAAATTCCAGACACCGTCATTAAGCCTAAGGTTTGAAGTGATTTTATCTGTACCTATTTGTGGTGTTGAATCTGATTATGAAATCAGGTTTTATCTATCAGCGATAGTATTCGTAAAGTTTTAATATTTGATATATTTATATCGTATACAGTTTGACACGAAGAACAGCTCAAGATGTGAAATACTAAAAAAAATACTTTCTCAAAAAAAAAATTATTTAATACTAGTTACGTAAGTTATTCTACTGACATAGTCTTGGTCAATTGATAATCCCGTTACAATGTAAGTATTTATGAGCTCACGCTAAATAAATGTCCAATATTTTAGTTATCCTAAAGCTACCTACCTGATGGGTTCGCAAATACACTAAAATGCTTAAACCAAACTTTGCGAAAAATTTCCAGGTGGCATGGTTTGTATCGAATTGCCACACCCGCAATAGGCGGTACGAGTATGCGCTACAACTCGCCCGGCACATTTCTGTTGATATCTACGGATGGTGTGGCCCCAACAAGTACGGCTGCCTGCGAAACGATCCCAATTGTTGGAAAATGCTTAATGAACATTACAAGTTCTATTTGGCGTTCGAAAACACAAACAGCAAAGATTACATAACGGAAAAGTTTTTCGTTAACGGTCTACAGTAAGTTAAATATTTACTCTACTTGATGTTCTTCAAAACGTTGCCAACCAATAATGTGTGTAGGTCTAATCTATTAGACGCCTTTTAATCGGTCCACTGCTTTCCGTATCTTGTCCCTAACCCTTGTTGCCATTTGTACAGATTGTTTAGATTGTCAACATTTCTGTATAGAGTTGACGTTACAATACCAACAATTCCCTATACCTGCGGCATAAGTCGTCCTTTTCCACAGATTCTGTGTCCTTTCCGCACTCATTTTGCTAAGTCAATCAATTTCTCTCCGGATTTAATCCGGCCACGCATAAAACCTTTATAAGTCGATAGCTGATATCAATAGATACAAGGAATAATAATATTATTCCTTGTATCACATATTATGTGATTCAAAGATATATGCTTCCAACACCGTACAGATGACACCACAAGTACCTACTAAATTTAGAAGTAAAAATAATATTTGTGAAATTGCTTCCTTTTACGATCATCAAGTCCAGATAAAGTGTCAGGGCGCACGAGCTGGGTATGGAGATAGCCACTAAAAACCTTCATATTAATAAATTTTAATTTCGTACCTACTAAATAATATTTATTAATAATAGGCGGAGTGTCGATTTCCAAATGATGATAACACGATATATTTGCTTAATGAAAATATTACACAAAATCATGACAAAATCCTGTTTTTTTTTTCACTTTATTGGAATAATTTTTACAAGTTTTTATTTTATATGGTACTGCATGATTGACAAGCGCGCTGTCAGTCGACCAACGAAGAATGACCCGTGATTAACGCTCTGTGTGTGATTTAACGCTCTACAGCTGCGGACCCTTTTAGTGCGGACCCGACGTCCATTTGTTGGTAGATCAATGATTTCCAAAGATTAATCAAGGCGTGCTAAGCTTTCCAGGCATCCACTCAATTTTCGCAATTTCCGAACGGAGCAACTAGACTGCTCCTCAATAGGTATGCATGAAATTAAAAACTAAATTTCGAATTGCGGTCAAAGGTCATCAAGATCAAAGGAAAAGCATTCAATTGTAAAATTTTGCACGCGCAAATAACGGACACACTCAACGCACACATTCAACATAGCCCCGCACTAGGAATACCCTCTGTCGCATGTGTCATGGATACACACATAGACAACCTCAAATTATACCCAAACTCACGAGAGAAATAAATGTTGCCCATACAAATATTTCCCGGCCTGGGAATCGAACCTGGGACCTTTGCGTGGTAGTCCGGCATGGCAACCGTTCGGCCACGAAGGCAGTTGTGCAGAACTGTGAAAAAAGAAAAATAAGAAAACCTTGCTGCTCTTCGGTAGGTAATCTGTCGACCCCTCTGAACCGCAAAAAAGCATTTATAATAAATGTTAATGTTAATTAAGAAGGTGTTTTTTAGTATGAATAATAATGAATAATCCATGGTCGGTCACATCGAATTTAGAATTCGCGATTTTTAAACATACTTAGGTACCACGTCTAAATTAATTTTATTTTTATTTAATATTTTTTTAAATTAAATTCAAATGCGAATTTTTTATTTTTTGTCTACTAAAAAACTAATACAAAAATCGCACGTGTGCGACAACACGTTTTCGCATGTGACCGGTAATGAATAACAAGGTGTTGTCTTAATCAGGGTTGCTGCTGATACAGGTATTTTACACTTCAGCGGATGCTGAGTTTTTACTTTAACATCAGCACATGCTGATCCGCATGCCGATTTGATCTATTTAAAGAAAAGTTGTGGACTATGTAGAGCCTTAGTGAATTTACATGAGAAAGCATTTTTAAAGTTTTTTATTTGTTTAATGATTTTGTGACATTTGTCAAATCAATCATGCTGTCTAGCTTAATCCTACTGGAATTTTCTCAAAGGCAAGAATCGCTGCACATCTGATTTTTGAGCTTGCAGAAACATCTTCTAGTAACAACAACTGGATATCTTGTAAATTAAGTCTAAATTTACTAGCCTTTGTTTGAAGGTGAAACGTGTCCTTATTAATTACAAAAGAAACTTGCATTTGTATGAAATATGTATGATTTATATGCTTAGACATGATGTGCTGCCAGTGGTGATGGGAGCAAGACAGGCTGATTATGCGGCGGTAGCACCACATAATTCGTACGTGCACGTTGACGAATTCGCCGGTCCAAAAGAGTTGGCCGCTTACCTGCATCGTCTTGACAAGGATGATAGTCTCTACAACTCCTATTTCAAATGGAAAGTATGTCGCACTATTACACTACCGTAGTAAAATAATTACTATTTAGCAGTGGCGGATTTGCAGCATTGACCGCCCTAGGCCCCAGGACATGCAGTCTGTACCAGCCGCCCCTTTCTCAGCACTCATCACATACTGGTAGACTACATAAGGAATTTACTTTATTGCTAACTTTTATCGAAATCGATTCAGAAATTTAGTATTTCATATTTTTAATAATTTTAATATTTTTGTAGAACATTGATTTGATATATCTCTGCCAGTTTACGGGGTGCACGCCAGTAAAGCGCCCAACCAGGCGTATTGATTTTTTCCGACACCTTCAACATTTATATTTATATTTCAGACAACTTACACAAAACCTAAATAAATTATACACTTGGCCCTTCCTCATGAATCACTCTGTCTATTGGTGGAAACCGCATGAAAATCGGTTCAGTAGTATTTTATCGCGATCAGACAGACAGACTGACAGTTGCGGTCGTGATAATATGTAGTGATGTAGTGATTATACTTTACATTACAAATATGTAAATGTAACATACCTGTATTATACATAAAATGTATGGAAGTGATTTAGGAAGATTGTTGTTATACGATGCGGTGCAGTGCGACCCGCCATAATGTTCGTGAGCCTTTAGAATATTTAGGTACTTTGAGTTATTTCTTATCACCATCAATGAAATTTTTTACACGTTTTGGCGCCCCTAAAATCTGGCCGCCATAAGCCTGCGCCTACTGGGCCTTAGGGCAAATCCGCCACTGCTATTTAGGTAGAAACGCATATCAAAAATTTTCAACAAAATACAACACCCGAATTTCGGGATTTAGACAGGAGAGATTTACACATTTAAAGTTTACGTAAATAATACTCAGCCCTTTCCGATCCCTGATAATAATCGGACACTAGATTACTTTTTGTTTTTTTTATGACTAGGAACTGCATTGCCCGTAGCTGCGGTTCAAGCTGTCGAAGGGAACGCCGCGCGCGATTGAAAAAAATGTATCCTTTATTTAATAAAGAATTTCTTGTAAAGAAATTCTGTTTCAGTTTTTGTTTGAAACTGAACTGAGGTATAGATTTTAGGAGGTGAGGTGTGGAGGACGGCCACTCGCGGCCCGCAATCTACGCGCTGAAAATTAATATTATGAATAAAATAAGAACAGGCGGAGAAAATTTGACTCAACTCCGACGTTTATATGCGTCTGACGGCGACTGCACTGGGCGATTTTCAAGTTTTGGGATATATGTTAATTTAATAACTATAGGGCTCCAGTTGAAAATCATAATTTAGTGAGTTGTGTTTAATATTAATATAAATTTGAGTCCATATAAAAATTAAGTGCAAAGTTAGGTATTCAGAAATAATTCGTTTTAAATTTTATTTTGGCCTGTTTTCCGGATTTTATATGATCTAGTAAAGTACCGAATTAACACATTCTTTAAACGATATCCTTAGGTGTATCGTATATTTTTTGTAAGACCTCTATTTAATTGCAAATACGTAAACCGTTTGATCTAGCGAAACAGCTTTTCCCGCTTCTTCTCCGGTGACCCGCGTTCAAGAAAAATATAACCTTGAGTAAAAAAAATAATTTAAAGTTACTCTTACAGTGCTCGGCGTAATACATTGCAGCGTAGCGTCGCCTATATAGCTGCAATTATTTGAATTAGCAATTTGAGGCAATCTTTAACCAAATGCTTAACTCTGCCATTAACATCCCAGTTATCAAATAGCATTTCTAATTTTTGTTAGATTGAGGTTCCACTGATTTGATCTTCACAGCCATGTAATAATTTACACTTATGTTGTGTATTGCAGGGCACTGGAGAGTTTATAAACACGTATTTCTTCTGCCGGTTGTGTGCAATGTTGCACGCAAATGATCAAAGGCAACGCAAGCCGCGCTTCATAGACGAACAGGTGTGGTGGGATGAAGCGAACGGGCTGGGTTCAGAGGCAAGAAGGACTCCACCTCCACCGCGCCCTCTGAAGTCGGAAATCGTGTCAGCCTTTTTTAAATAACAATATTTCGCTTATGTACGTTCCGTTTATGTATTTTATTTTAATTATATACAGTGTGATAAAAAAATGACTGTCCATTTTTTCCTATGCATAAGATTCTGTAATGGAACACATTAGTGAAATAAAACAAAAAAAGATTTCCCGATTTTTTGATGGTATTTCCCAATAATTTATAACACGTGGTTACCTCAAAAGAGTAAAAAAAATCGGCGCCGAGTTGTCTTAACGCTTAGGCGTCAGCACGTCGCACCGCGCGACAACAGACAGAGATAAGCGCATCGCGCGTTAGTAATAATTTGTTGTCTGACATATACATAGACTCGTGCGCTGACTCCGCCCACTGCCACTCTTGCACACCATTCTTACAAGATAGCAAAGCAAGGGCGTCTGTTAATCATCGGGTGTCAATATTGTCCACGTTTTGGCGGAAAACTTTGAGACGTCATAATTTATTTATTTGCTAAGTAGTTGGAAAAAAAACCGAACATGTATTTTTTATTTCCATTATGGTTTTTTTATCACCCTGTATTTATATTGTATACTCACTTGATTTTGTGTTTCCTTGAACCCTACAACTTTACCTACGTTTTGTCTTAGTGAACGCTATCGGTGAGCTGATGATTTTATACCATTTTCTAAACTTGAAAACTGCACTCAAAATGAAATGGACAGAACATTTAAACGAGCGGAGTATTTAAGTAATTCTATAATTTAATCGTCAAGTATTCGATGAGAATTGAAAGTATACGAACCACGGAATAAAAGTATTTGGTCGGTGATACGAACAAACACGAAACAAACCACGACGATTATTTGTTATAATAGAACATTGCAACTGTACTGCATTTGCAACGGACAAGTTTAGAAACAGATAAATGAAATGAAATGAAATGAAAATTTATTTGCTTAAAATGTGGTGAACAAGAGATGGAACACAGCAGAGAGATAGAGCTCATATTTTACCACATCTGACATGCAAAATTATACATATAGTGATTGAATTAATTGATTAGATTACAAATAATATCAGTAGACATGCACAAAACATCCTTAAAGTTCTAATTTTGTTTCAATACATAGTCAATTAAATTAATAACAAAATTTATGAAGGAAATGAAACTATTTTTCCGGATTTAAATCGCGTATATTTGTTTTTT